AGGGGATGACTTATGACGACTGGCATTCCGACAAACTTTATAGGTACCAACCCTTTAACCAACCTAGGTCATATGATCAATCTCTCATTGACCCCAGGCATTCATGTAATTACTTAACTTGTAATGTTTGCCTCCAAATTTCACCTAACACAGGCAGTAAGGGCAATGTCATTACATGAACCCATGCCAAGTAGATGACCCACACGACTTTCATGAACAGACTAGGTTTCACCTTACAAGTCTCTGACAGAACTTTGCAGTCTGGGACTGGTTAATCTCTGTGAAATTGTGTCTAGAAACGTTGGATTTTCTTTAATAATTGGAAAAAAAGTTCATTTCAAGGACTTTGTGAGATTACTTTTGCGCATAAATTTAAGGTATTATGACCAACGGCAAGATTGAAACATTTTTGGTTTTACTGAAAGACCTTGCCTCCACTGCTGACAAAATCTGAATATCTTCACTTTTCATGATAAGATGCTCTGACAAGCTTAGCAAAACATGGGACAAGTTCATATGTCCTTGAATGTTTTCAAACAAAACTAACTTAATACATGCCAAATGGAAATAAAGATGGATGTTCACATTCATTTAAATAATTTTGGTCAACTATCTTTTTGCTCAAAAACACAGTTTTTTTGCTTGAACATATTGTTATGTGACAAACAATTACTAGCAAAGTGATTCAAAGCAAAAAGTTGAAAAGTGAACATGTGAAACCTTAAGGTGACAGGTGCCTTTATTTGACAAATCTGAATGTCATGTGTCTTTCACATTCCACAAGAATGGCAAACTAGCAGAGATTTGAGTCAAAATGTTGGTGTAGATTTAACATGTCCGGACTAATATTGCATGACTGTCCCCTTCTACAATCAGTCAGTATTAGCTAAGCCATGTAAACATGACGTTTGTAAGGACATGCAGGTCAATCCATCAATCAAACAATGACCTTCACCTTCCTGACGTACATTCACTTCCTGTTTTACAATATTTGGGGTGTGCAATGACGTGTTGACAAAATTAATCCTTGTTCAATCAAACATGTTTGTCGTTAAACACATCCGATCTGTTTGGCTGAACTGTCTTATTGATTTGATACTATTGCCAAATAGAAATTGATGGAATCACATGACATGATGGGTTTCTTTGAAAATTAGTTTTTGTGTTATTAAAGAATTATTGCAAAGAGATACCTTGCAACACCAGGGGTTGAAACACAAAACTGGTCTATTATGTTTAAAACAAGTGTCATGAATCTCTCATTCGAATGATGTCACTTAGCTGACCAATGCTGTACATCCTGATATAGGATAATAATGTTCCTGTTAGTTTATCCCTGAGGCAAGTGAAAACTTATTATTTGTTATGATATGTCATAATATCATTATTCAGATGAGTGAGTAGAAAATGAGGCTTTTTCTCTGCTGCTAAAGTGAAAGCCATTCTTGGGATTAACATATCTCAAGTAAACAGCATGTGATATAATGACCCTAGCTTAAATCTGTATTTTCAAATACTGCGAAAAGGAACTGTTTTGCTCTTAATATACAGTTAACAAATTTTGATAAAAGAATAAATGGAACATCTAGTGAAATCAGTTGTAGTTTCCATGTTTGTTTGTTGTTAAGTGCTGCACTCATCAATATTCCAGCTATATGACCGAGGTCTGTAAATAATCAAATCTAGACCATATCAATCCAGTGATTGATATCATGAGCATATCGATGCATGAGCATTGATCTACACAATTGGATTGGTTGGTTGGTTTGTTGTTTAACGCCGCACTCAGCAATATTCCAGCTATATGACGGCGGTCTGTAAATAATCGAGTCTGGACCAGACAATTCAGTGATTGACATCATGAGCATCGATCCACGCAAATGGGATACGATGACATGTATCAACCAAGTCAGAAAGCCTGACCACCCGATCCCGTTAGTCGCCTCTTACGACAAGCATGGGTACCTGAAGACCTATTTTAACCTGGATCTTCACAGGTCTAGTTTCCATGTAGTGGTGATGAACATTTCATTTCATATGAATATTTCTTTGATTGATTGTTGTTTAATGCCAGGCTTAGCAATATTTCAGCTATTTGACAGTAGTCTGTAAATAACCAAATCTGGACCAGACAGTCCAGTGATTGAAATCATGATCAGCGATCCATGCAACTGGGATACAATGACATGAAAATCAACAGTCTGACCGGCAATATGGAGATGCCACAAGCTGTATTATAGGTATTGATGGGAGTAACAAAATGTGCAATACAAGCAAACCCACTAACTGGGTTACCCAACCAACCAGTATAATAAAGTACCTCAAGTAACCTAACACAAACATGATAAGGGTACACAAGAGAGAAGGAAACAGAGACAGCTGATATATTACCGAACAATATTTACTGATTTTTTCCATGGAAATCAAGACTGAATTTGGAATTAGACTTATTACAAAAGCTAATAGGGCATTGATTTCCTTCTTTAGGAATATGTAATGAGGCTGGGGCAGACAAACCATGACATACCTTTTAAAACAAATATTTATTTGAACAAATAGGCAACCAACTGCGACACTAGCAGTCAAACAGTCATATTTTTTACTTTTTCACATCATATAAGTGAGACAGCAGTATTCCAAGCATATCGTGGCAGGATTTTTTGAGAATGGACTTTAGCCACTAGGCCAAGAAAAGTCAAGTAAAATTCTGTTCAGACTAGGATCTAAATAATATTCAATACAATAACACCCAAATCTGAAAATGATAGTTTTTGAGCCAAATTCAGGTATACATTTTTGGCCCCCACTGCTACCTATATGGTAAATGAACCCAGTTCTTTGGGGTGATGAGTGAACAAGGCTACTCCACCACCCTTCTCCAACATGTTTGAGTGGCATCTCCTTCTATTGTAGCTGATGCACATCAATCCAAGCACCAGTTACAAATAAATATTTGGGGCAAACAAGTCACAAGTCACTTCTTGTAACATGTATAACAATATTCAAATGTATGATGATAGTGTATCCCAAGACCAGCAGAACAAAATTAGAACTAAACGTTCTCCTTGACAGAACTTAAGCTATTCTGAAAGGTTGACTTCCTGGTTTTAGTCCCGTCAAGAGGAGAACATGTTATTTCTTGCCTGAAAACAACTTAAGTGAAAGCTAACAAATGGGAGTTTTCTGAAGCCACACAAACACTGCTTCAAAGGAGTATTTTTTTATAACATATATCTAAGATGTGGGGTGTGTTAAGTTGACATCTAGTTGTAAGTGCCCAATATGGACAGTTTGATTACATCTATTTACCACGTGTCAGGAGTTCATCACAGTATCAATGTTAGCTATGCAAGTCTAAGGTTTCGGTGATCAATAGTTGTCACCAAGTTACATCCTTTGTCTTACAGGGTACAACAACAAGTAATCGAAAGGAAGGCTAAAAGGCAAGGGATCCATATCATCAATCCATGTTAAAGATTAGAGAGTCCTTAGAACAAATACTAAACCAATTTCAAAGACCTTAAGACCTTCAATTTTTAACACTTGAAACCACATGAGAAGCGGTGCTCACACATGCAATTGTTTGATACAACTGAAAAGATGGTTGTGTCTAAGCCAAAAAAAGCCTTTCCTATGACTGTAAATCTAACACAATAAAACAACCCAGCAGAAACAATTGATCTCATGCTTCACTCCCCACTGTACAGATCAATGATACAGTAGCATATAGGTATATGACTTGTAATTATATAAACATTCCCTTTTCTCCACAGGAACCAATTTGCAGGGGGACTAGTGATGCATGTACAAGTCCATTACCTAACAGCAATTAATCAATTAACATTCATGGTGTTGATTAGTGTCAATAAACATGGATCATTAGCATGAAAAGGTGTTGGTATTTATTGTTATGGCTTCTGAACAAATGGGAGCCGAGAACTTGTCAAAGATAAGATCTTTGCAAGGCATTTAGAAGGGATACTTATAAGGAAGTGAATTTATGGATGTCAACTTCTTTATTATGAGGAACACAATGTTTGGAGTATATGCTTAGTTCTTCATCAGGTGAATGATGAAGGAGTAAACATATACCATGTATACTCCGAAACATGTGTTCCTCATAATAAAGCTTTCATAAATTCTCTTCCTTTTGTCTTTGTCAAAGATAGATGGAAAACTTCCCGAGGCAAAGAACTGCACCTATCTAATTCAAGGTCCAGTTTAAAAAAAAACACTGAATATTTTGGATTATGTCAAGACTTAGGTGAATAGGGAAACTACACACAAGTGTTTTCCTGACAGAGAAAAATGTGGGAGAAATTTGAATTACACTAATATGGATAATTACATGTATACATGGATAACTAAACAAATTTGTTATCCATGTGATAACAACTACCTGATTATAAATCCTTATTGAAATTACTAATCTTATTCATAGAACATAGATCAGTATTTTTCTCTCTATCTCAATTCATTAATTTGGCCTTAAGTCAACAAGTATGTGATCCAGTTGTTTGTTTTTCCATATAATTATAACATAAAATATTCTTCCATCTGTTTCTTTCTATGTTTACATTCTTTCATTAGCTAATGTGTGGACTATAGCAATAACATTTCTATAACTATTCTAATGTATGTTTTATGGACAGTTGCTACACAGCCAACAGATTATATGGCCCAATCTAGACATAGATCTGTCTTCTGAACTCATAAATCAAGAGATCTAGTTTGATAAATCCATCAAAATGATGTTGCTATTCAAGTTTCAACTATATTTATTATATTCTTTAATAACACTTCCACTACACGTGTGGGTCCTTACAACACGCTGACAAGATTTCTCACAATATCCCTTCCAACCATTAGCATTTGAATGAACTACACAAGGGAAACTTCATAAATCAACCTGTGCTTTTGATAAAACTTGTTGTAAGCCGTACCTATGCAGTTTATACATCTCATATCTGGGTGCGGTTTAAGCAATGCAGTCAACTTACCTCATGTTTTTTGTTGTTGTTTTGTTCTGCAGAGAATAATGTGGATTAACTCAGCAGGTATTTTCTTCCTTTATGATTAGAATGTATAGGAGGAATTAGTCGAGAATATTTGTAAACCACCTCGTAACATATAATAACTAGACAAGGCGATTAAGAGTTAAAACTAGTCCCAATTTTTGACGTTCTGTCCAACTGTCAATTGGTCACTGCGACAAATCCACTTCCTTCCCAGACGCCATGATTTGTGAGTCCGTATCACTTCAAAAATACAACTTATGCGATATATAATAATTGTTGCATCATACACGAATAATGTGTGTATGAACCTTATAATAAAAATTTAAATTTTGCAAAACACCAGTAAATATAATATTTGTACAGCCTATTTAATTCTGCCCTTCAGACCGGAAGTTAACCCGAGACAGGTGCGCGTGGAAGCTGAACCGAGTTGTCCATCTGGATGAAACAGAAGTCTACATCACTGGATCTCATCACAGACAGTCAGACTTAAAATGACGTATTTTAATACATGGGAAGAATTTGCCAAAGCAACAGAGAGACTATATATCAACGATCCATCTAGGGTGAGATGTTATTTGTGGGAATTAATATGATAATATTTTAGAGCGTGTGTAGTTTGTTGTCACATTTTTTTAGAAAAATATTAGAAGTCATATAAATGAAGAATACACCCCAACCTTAACCACGAAAGGATGGAAACAGAGTTAAGAAGGATGGACACGCAAGGTAGCGTGGGATAACTGAATTGTTTGCAAAACCATATATGTGGTGATTTATGTAGAATGGTTCTTAAAAGTGTAAACAGATGTTCTGAAAACAAAACATGCTCTGCATAGCCTACATGTTGGTCATGTTAGTTAGAAGTTTGCTCATTGTGCTGTCTATCAAGGTTAAATTCCCCACCTAGGTACCATGTGAGAAGTGTTCCGGTGGCCCTCTGTGATATTGCTTGAATACTGCTAAAACTAAAAGTCATGTAAAACCATATTCACTCACTTTGAAATATAGAACTTTGGGGTATCGCGGTACTTGTTATGTACGCTAAACAGAACAAATGCATTCAATGCATATTTACTGAAAAGTAAGAAACATATTTTAAAAAATCAATAACAAATTATCTGAAAAGATATTTTAAGATTTTTGTTTAAAAATTGGATTACAATAATTTGTTACAAAAAGTGGAAAAAATGTTTAAAGTTAACAATAAATGTATGAAAAGCACTCCTTTGATGACAACAGTATGCGCTTATTATTTGGCTACTTGTGAAGAACGTATTGCTAAGTATGGCACCATGGCCTCTACCATCTCCTAAAAAGATTCTGGTCACATAGTGGGAAAAATGTGCGTGCTGCATCACTTCTGTTACCTAATTTGTCACCATGAATATACAGACCATCTAGTTCAGGTCGATAGAGACAGTTTAATTTGGAAACTGTGTGTTATGTATCGTAGTCTATTGATAGTTTGGGGTAAGCCAATATTAAAAAGATGCCAGAAGTAGTATCGAACATATTAATAAATGCTTACTTACAGTAGACAGAACATTCCGAGGAAATTGAAATTGTTTACAAAGCGAGCACTTCCTGGTTACTTCTATGCATTAATAGACAGCCGCTAGGATGTGTGTCCTACATGAACTGCCAGAAATTACAAATGTTGCGGTATGATGAATGCCGTGGTACCACAGGGTCCGAGTATACTGATACTTTTTGAAGGTTTGCCAAAGTGACAATGTTAGCTTCGTCCATCAGACAAGGTTGCTGGACAAGGATGGTTTCGCTGTGCTAAGTCCGTACATAAGGACTTTTGAAGAGAAATAAAGACATCAAGGTTGTCAGCATGTTTGTCTTACAAAGCCTTGGGTCAATAGGATCCTTTGATTGCAATTTTCCCTGAACTGTTGGTTACAAAAGCTCATTATGCAATCCAAGATTTGCCTCCATAATTAAATCAGCTCCCCATAAACCATTTTATTATTTAGTCAATCCTTCCCTTCTCAAGTTTCCACTTTTACTATCTTATAACTTTTGTAGTTCTTACATGTATGCTTTCTGCTTCCTAGCAGTCATTCACCTGATACAGGAGTAAGCAAGTTCTCCAAAATGTTCCTCATAATAAAGAAGTTGACAATGACATCCATAAACTCTCTTCCTTAATGTGTATCACGTCTAAATGTCTTTGAAAGACTCAATCCTTCCAATTCTCAAGGTAGGTGGGGTAGCCCAGTGGTAAAGACTTCGCTCATCATGCCAAAGACCCAGATACGTTTCCCCACATTGGTACAATGTGTGAAGCCGGTTTCTGGTGTTACCCACTGTGATGTTGCTGAAATATTGCTTAAGCAGCATAAGCCATACTCACTCACTTCAAAATTCCCATTCTCCGAAGTGTATTCGATTTCAAGCTTCAGAAGTTCAAGGCTGAATTCAGTATTCAGATGCACATTCAGAGAAGCAGAAATCGTACAAGGCCACTCAGAGTAACATCAAATGGATATGTGCATTCCCCACTTGCACGTCGATGCTAGTAAATACAAACATACTAACTCTCAACCAGTATTTCCTTGTCGGGATTCTTGCTCATAGCTCATTCGCTCAGAAACAGATTTGTCTGTCCCGGACTATTATTTCCACGCATCACATTTACAGACACAGCTGGAATGACCATGTGCTGAATTAGGCACAAAACAACATAAACTCGCTCATTCACTCCCCCAGTGTCAAGATACTTGATGATGATCAAGGGCAATTAGCATGTTAAGTGTTTTGAATTGAAACTAAAACTGAAGTATTAGTAAGGCATGTTCAGACCAAATTGTTTGTTAATGGGATGGTTTATTCATATATCTAAGACAAGGTGGTAGTGGGTAGTTAGTTGAGTAACTGAAGTAGATAAGTAAATAATTACATCTACTGTCAGCGCTTCCTGTTAGAATAACAATATTATTAATAAAAGAGTATTGTCTTTTTTTTCTGAAAATTATGTATTTCTGATTTCAGTGTCGATTTGTCATAAAGTATCGTCACAGTGAAGGAAAACTGGTCTTGAAAATGACAGATGACAGGGTAGTAAGTATCATGGCATGATATCCTATTGTTGAATTTGTATATCTTTGATTCGTTAGGCATTTGTTGTTTTATTAATTGGTGTACTCAATTACTGATCAGCCGACCATACAAATCAAGAAAGTAGAAAAAAATATTATTCTCAATTGAGAGTTGTTTTAATTACCGCAGTGCCGAGTCTGAAAACCCCATTTATTAATAAAATAAATCACAAATTCTTTTAATGAATGATATGTTTTCCCCTGTTTTCACGGAAAAAAGTTAGACTGGTACATGTACTAATCAGGAATGAAGTGGTGCCTTTTGTTATTTTTAGAATTTTTATTTTTTTCCATTTGTTTGGACCATATCTCAGGTTATCAACTGGTGCCTTTTGCTATTTAGGGATTTTTAGAATTTTAAGTTTTTCCGCTTCCTTGTCAACAAATTTGACATTGACTCTGTTCATATTGGTGTGTACCTGACATAGAAATACAATATTCAGAATCTCAGTTCCATGGTATTGTTTTGATAGCTTAATAACAATAAATAAAAATAATTCCATGAACCAACTAATTAAAAAAGACCTTATGGGGGTTATTACAGAAACCATGTTCTTGCCTTACGCATAAAATGTGGGAAACTGTAAAAGGTGAACCGGTTGGCAAAGATTGTTGTTGTGGAAAATGGAGAAAGAAACAAAATTTGTATTTTTATTCTATCTTTGATATACCAAATTTGCTTTCGGGGGCGTGGGTTGCCCACTCTTCTAAGGCAACGCAATTCTCTGTGCAGAGTTGCTACTTTGGGGCATGCCAGAAACCTATGATTGTGGGTTTTAATCCCAATTGGCCCCTATTATGTTTCTAAGTTTGTCAGCACCATACCCCTGCTCGTGGGTTTCACCAAAGTTGTAAATGACTGAGACCTGCATCAATTCGGGCTTTCCTCCCACATAATGCTTACATGCCATGATATGACTGGAATATTTTTCAGAACGATGTTAAAACCCAACTCACTTACTCCATCAAATTTGCTTTCAGTGTTTGCAGTTCAAGACAGAACAGGCTCAGGATGTGAAGAAACTGGAGAAATTGACAAGCCAGTTAATGAGGCATATGGCCTCCAAGGAGAAGTGAACAGTGCAGCTGTGTGTGGATGGATGACTGATGAGGAAGTGATGGCCGTCGAGATGAACATGTAATTCTTTTGTGAACATTTATGATGGATCATCTTTTGTGTGGATGAAGTATATATATGTTTATTGCTTTACCATCTTTTCCAAATGAATATAAAAAGACCTTTGTTCAATATTTGTTTGAGAAGTGGCAAACCTTTTAATAAGTCCTGTTTTCAGTCTTTTTTTTGTCTAACATGTCTATAGACAGAATTTAATATACCACTTTGCCATCATGTTAGTTGGCGGATAATTTATGTTACACATGCTTGAGAACATTCAGAATTGTTATTATTATGTGTTTAATTTTAACAGATGCAAGGGTTTCATGTTGTCATGTATCTCAATTCATTAATAATTATTGTTGCGAATGACTTGAATCTTACATTTATATATATTACTCAAAAACACTACTCAGATAAACTAGTAATGTGAAAGAATTGGTGGCCCTTAACCTTTTTTGAGTAGTATATGTTAAAAAATGATGATCATGAAGTTAGAGGTACAAGTGAATGCAAGATGATATGAAAACAAGTGTGTGTTGTGATGTTCATGTTTGAGGCCATGATTGTAGAGTGTATAAATGGAATCTGGTTTAATGGGAGATAGTGTAAGCATGTTACGCTTTGTTCAAGTCATGATCTTGACCTTGTGCATCAATGTATTGTTGCCATTCAGCATATTTGACTTGCACATCCTTACACAGGTCAGGGTTAGACATGGCCACTAGTCCGTTAGTACCAGACTAGTGAAAATTCAGAGGGACTAATTGTTTTCTACCAAAATCTACCTATTTGACATAAACACTAGTCTGAAATGAGTACTGGACCAGCTGTATATGACCAATGTTGGCTACCACTGTCCGTCTGCAAAATAGAAGCATTTGTTTGTAGAAATGGCAAGGGAAATTATGTAAGAAAGAAAACTATAATTTTGAAATACAGAACTAAACCATTACCTCTGTGCAGATACATATGCTAAAAAGTGTATGATTATTTTAGTCTTTTAGGCTACTTTTCTCAAGCTTTAAGTTTTCTGTATGTGATGTTCAAAGTTGTGGTGTGTGCGTACAACCACTCACTCCTCAGTATTTGTAATGGAATGAATTAGTTGTACGTTTCCTGACCCGAGTTGTATGTCATCTATTTATCATGTAAATATTAAATCTTCCATTGTTCCCAAGTTTTGTTGTTGATTTGATCTCATGAGCATAAGATAGCGCTCTTAGTTTTCTTTATCTCCTTAAAACTTTAGAAGTTTGTTTGTTTGTTGTTTAATGCCACACTCAGCAATATTCCATCTATATGACGGCGGTCTGTAAATAAGCGAGTCTGGACCAGACAATCCAGTGATGAATATCATGAGCATCGATCTATGCAATTGGGATCGAGGACATGCATCAACCAAGTCAGCGACCACCCGATCCCGTTAGTCGCCTTTTACGACAAGCATAGTCGCCTTTTATGGCAAGCATGGTTTGCTGAAGATCTATTTTACCCCGGATCTTCACAGGTCCTGAATGCATGGATTGGTGTTCATGCTGTCGACCACTTGTTTGTACAATCAAGATTTGATTTGCTTAAAGTCTCTGGTATAACTGAAATATTGCTGACTATTATTGTTATTATCGTTTGTTAAGTCTGTTGTCCACCTGTTTGCTTTTTACCACTTCAACCAGTTGGGATGAACTTTCAACTGCCAGGTTTCTCACACCAAAGAGGACTCAAATTTCAAAATGGCAAATTTAGCAATAGTAGTCACAAAGCTTCAGACATGTTTTATACAACAGTCTTATTTTCAGGTGTTGCCCTTAGCTGTTGAGGGAATTTGAAAGCTTGATTTCTGTTGAGAGATTTTGAAAGTTTGATTTATCGTCTTTTCTCATGGAAACATGGCGTTTATAAATATAATTAATTGAAAATTGTTTCTGAAACTTCACTCTGAACTATATTTTCCTTCATTCAGTGTACCATGAGTCCAGATATGATATGAAGGTGGCAGGGGTGGCCCAGTCGTCTGAGGCGCCGCGATTCGCTGTGCAGAGTTGTGTCCTTTGGACACACCAGAAACCTATGATTGTGGGTTCAAATCCCAGTTCACCCCGATTATGTTTCTAGGTTTGTCAGCACCATACCCGTGCTTGTGGGTTTCACCGAAGTGGTAAACGTCTGAGACCTGCATCACTTCAGGCTTTCCTCCCACATTAAGCTGACACTCCGCGATATAACTGGAATACTGTTAAAAGCGGCGTTAAACCCAACTCACTCACTCACTGGATGGGATGGATGGATGGATGGTATGACTCTGAAACCCGCAATCTGTTGATGCTTCCAGAGTTGGTTCAGATAGCTGACCTTCAATAAGTCAAGGAACTTGCGGACTCCAGGGACAGATTTTAAGCTGTCATGGATCATAGGTTGCATACATAGAGCACATGAGTTGATATGGTGTTAAGTCCATGTTAACTAAGAGGTGAACTATTAGATTTTCAATTAAATATTTATCAGAAAGGCATTTTATTTTTTAATTCTTTTCCAGACAAAAAGGAATGAGTAAGCTGGGTTGGGTTTAAAGCATCTATGGACAGTATTTTATTCATATCATTGTTTATGAGCTTTAAATGAAAGGATATTGATATAAGTTGTGGACATCACTTTGGTAAAAACTTAAAGCATGGCTGAATGGGGCAAAGTTGGTATTCAACCCATGCCTCGTGGATCCTGGTACGACTAAGGAGCATAACTCCACAAACCATATGTTATTATACTTATTGCATACTTACAACATATTGAACTTCATCATGATACATGCAAAAATAACCTGAGTTATGGGCAAAAATGACATTTTCAAAATGGCTCCAAGATGGCCATGTTTAAAATAGGATTGTAATCATCTGAAAACATTTTGGAAACAACACAGCTGGGATCATCCATGGTGGTCAGCTTCACTGCCAATGTGGTTTCAAAGGAGATGGTTCAACCCCACTGGGCTGTGACACAACTCTCAGTCAGATAAGATGCAATTCTGAGTGAGTTTGGTTTATTGTCACTTTGAACAGAATGTCAGTTATAGCATGTTCATTTGATTACCCGTAACGATCCATGTTTTATATGCTTACCATGATCATAGGTTATTGGCTTGCCCAAGTGATGCAACTCTGGACTGTGACTTGACTCCCCACCACCCACCCACCCCCGCCCCCGCCCCCTAAAATCATTTGACCATTTGTTTGTTCTTGAATGCTGTCTAACAATAGTCAGCAATATTTCAGTTATACCAGAGACTTTAAGCAAATCAAATCTTGATTGTACAAACAAGTGGTCGACAGCATGAACACCAATCCATGCATTCAGGACCTGTGAAGATCCGGGGTAAAATAGATCTTCAGCAAACCATGCTTGCCATAAAAGGCGACTATGCTTGTCGTAAAAGGCGACTAACGGGATCGGGTGGTCGCTGACTTGGTTGATGCATGTCATCGATCCCAATTGCATAGATTGATGCTCATGATATTCATCACTGGATTGTCTGGTCAAGACTCTATTATTTACAGACCGCCGTCATGTAGCTGGAATATTGCTGAGTGCGGCGTAAAACAACAAACCAACCAACCAACCATGCATTCAGGGTACAATGACATATTTTATCCATATTGGGAATTGTACCTGGGTCTTCGGCGTGATGAGCAAACACTTTAACCACAAGGCTACCCTATACATGGATACACGACACTTCATAAACACCTGCTCTCAAATTATAGTCAGCTCTTCCAAGCATGAGGTACATCCCTGGAATTTCCACTGGGCTCAAAGCAGCTGAAATATTGGGGGAGGGGGGGGGGCTATTAAATCTTGAAATTCAGTGGAAATTTCTAGAAATATCAAAAGTGTTTTGGGTGAAGGACAACTAGAACCTCTAATCACAAACAGAATTTATATTCATGTCACATGAGTAATGAAACCAGTTGGTCCTAATATGATCTTTTACAATTCTGAAACCCCAATTTTCAAAAAGCCTCCATGTCTTCATGTCATTAACATAACATGGAATATTCCTTTTAAGATGAATATGCTACTATTCCATTTAGCCAAACTCCCATGAAATGGGCAAGTTTTTAAACAAGGCAAAACTAAGAAACAAGATATCAACACCTTGTGAACAATATAACATTTTATTTACAAGCTTTGTTGCAACCGTGTTATTACAGAGTCACGAAAAGGTTTCCCATTCTCTGACAGCAAAGCATACCAACCACACAGTAATGTACACATTTACAGACTTGTTTGTACAGAGGCTGAATGTCATGTATTGTTTTGACAAATGATATTCACCTGCAACTGATTTTGGTTGAGCACAATAAATAAGATATGGCAAGTCTTCGTAATTGAACAGAAACAACATATGGCAGGTCAACTGAACATAATCACACAAAAATCATATGATCATATCATGATTTTTGCATTGGAATATGAAGTGATGAATTAAGTAAACATTCAACAGAGACAAATTTAGTTGAGATCAAAATCATATTTCAGAATCTAATTTCAATTTCATTTTTTTTAAATTCAGTTGTTTGAGATCTGGATGAATGCAAAAAAAGAAGATCATAATTAAAATCCAACCTGTTCTGAATATTTGATGGTGCCAGGTAGGACCTTCCACTTAATTTACTTTGACATTGCACAGGAAGGGAGATAACTCTAATCATGAAAAAAGCATAGCAACCAAAAAGGTCATACATCACTAGGTGGATTATATATTTGGCAGAATAATCTTTTAATGGAAATATCATTCACTACATTCAACTCAATATCTGTAACATCTATACGCTACAAGTGTCACATGCATAACAACTAATACTTGAAATGAAAATGACAATCTTAGGCTTAAAAAAAGAAAAGAATTGGTTCTCAGGCAATGACTTTTGAAAATATAGTGCCGGCGAATGGTGTGTTTTGTTTTTTTGCTGGTTCAAACTAGTATGTAACCAAATAAACAGTTGTGTACCATCAACCTGGGAAAGGGACTCTCTACATAAACAAGCATACAAACTCCTATTGCCGCCATTACCACAACAGTAAAACAATGCGCATGTAAAGGGAAGTAACTGCATGCTATATTGGATTGCATTGTTTTTAGGTATAGGATTTTTTTATTTTTGGGGAAATGGAAATAAAAACAAAACGTGCAGCAGACTTTATGATGATGCGGGCAGTGCCTGAGGACCAAGACTATTATTCTTTTTAGCCTTAATATCAGATGAAATATGAACATGCTCTTTGTACAATGTATGAATCAAAGAAACTATCAAGCACAGAAATAAAACTCCAACTTGTCATAAGACATTTGAAGAGGGTATAGAAATAATCAATGTATAAAATCACTTCTTTTAGAAAACATTATATAAGTAAGATTTTAAACAGCTTTTGATAAATATTAATCAGCAGGGGACAAGAATGTGTTTGGGGAACAGCATGATTTACATGTACCAATGTAAGATATTGAATCTGATCATGCACAAGGAAAAACTCGAATCAAAGGCTATCCAACTGCTCTGAGAAACATTAAAAATGTCAATCAAGATGGCATTGTTCCCATCGAAATCGATTAACGACATCTTGGGTGCAGTGTAATGCCATTTTGAAACTATACATATACTTGGAAAATAATTGAGCAGTAAATGTCCATATCAAAAAAAGAAAATTAAAATAATCGTATGCTGTATATATTTTCTGACGAAACACATTTGTTTCAGTTTACAAAGTGGGATACACATATTGAAACACAGATACCAAACTTGTTTATTGAATGACGTTTTGTAACTATTCCATGTCAATAGTTGTTTGACTACCGGTACATTTTTAATTGCTATCTCTGCTCCTCAAATCATTTAAGTCCTTGCAACCATCTGGAAGAACACACATGGTTTGTATACCAACTGGTGTAACCATCAGGTATTGGTAATATCTCGGACATTGTTCAAAATAAGGCCAGTGTAATATGTAGATATTTCCAAAAGATCCCTGGAAGTTCGGAATACATGAAAGGTAGGAAGGAGCAGCAGGTAACGTGATACAAGGTGTATATATGTTCAAAACAGTAACCATTAATAATCACTCATTGTGTTACACTGTATATTCAAAGATTCAGTTATGCACAAGGACACAATACCGTATCAAACACTGGCTGGGAATCTGGCTGATGCGCCATTTGAATTATTTGCAAGTATACATAAGATGAGAACGTCGGTCTAATTATGTCACTTCTAAGTATGGAACCTATTTGTGAGTTAGTTGAGTTTAACACCGCTTTTATCAGTATTCCAGTTATATCACGGCAAGTCAGCTTGATGTGGGAGAAAAGCCTGAAGTGATGCAGGTCTTAATGTTTACCATTTTGGTGAAACCCACAGCATAGGTATGGTGCTCTCAAACCTAGAAACATAATTGGGGCAAATCAGGATTTCGAAGAACCTATTCTTAATAACATCACCACAATACAAATTACTTTCAACATGATAGTTTCTTTCCTCCTAGGGTTGAGGGTCTGTCAAACCCAGTCACTGCTAGCCTTCCTTACTCAAGCACTGTCACATAACTGGATCTCTTTGATTAGTAAGGATTTTTAAAAAGAGAAGATAGCAAAAACACTTTAAAATCCCATGATACCAGGAAGACAAGAACATTCTTTTCTTGAGGGTGAATATATTCTTCTTGTCATTATAATACATTATATCATGCAAACATATTGAATGGAGTCCACTGACACATTCACAATTCCTCAATGCAAATAGCACTGATATCTCTGCACATCAACATAACACATCTGGTCCAGTATGACTTAGTAACTTTACTCTAGCCAAGTAAATGAGAGTTGGATTAACACCGCTCGGAACAGTATTTCAGTTATATCACGGCATGTCAGCTTGATGTGGGAGGAAACCCCGAAGTGACACAGACCCTGGAAGTTTACCACACGAGGTGAAACCCAGGTGCACTGGTATAAAGCTGACAGACCATGGGTCATAACCGGGACGAATCTGGGTCTGAACCCAGGACAGCTGTTCCTGACTGTGCCGAGAGGCTGGACCACCCGTGCCCTCTGTACTCTAGCAGCGACAAGTATCGTCCGGCCACTACTCCTGGTGCATGTCTACTGTTTCCGTCCAAACATGATATGATATGTGAGCCACCACATAAGCAAGGGTTGGCATATTGCTATAGTCAGTATAAGATATAAGCTGCGTTTGTTTCCACGGGAGAAGTCGTCCCCAGTACTGTGAGGCTGTATCTGCACCCTCAGCGTTCGAACCTGCAACACAGAAGTAATGGATATGAGTGAGTGAGTGAGTATGGTTTTACGCCGCTTTTAGCAATATTCCAGCAATATCACGGCGGGGGACACCAGAAATGGGTTTCACACATTGTACCCATGTCGGAATTCGAACCCGGGTCTTTGGCGTGACGAGCGAAGGCTTTAACCACTTGGCTACCCGACCGCCCCTAATGGATATGAAAAACCTTTAAAATAGAAAGACTTTCAGCACTGTAAAGACTTGGACCAAGTACCTGGGTCACAGGACTTGAAAGCAATTTGTTGTAGACAACATGATGGCAAGAATAATGTTGAAATACATACAGTGAAATATATATGTGTGGGGTGTGTGCACATAAAACTCAACTTTTGACTTGGCTAAGGGTGCTGTTAACATGTAAGGTGTCTGAGAAAAAGGATTTGGGCTGAATAGTATTTCAAATACCGGTACATTATGACTTGTCAGCCTATAGAGGGAGGAGAGCCCAAGGTGAGCAGGTAACGAGAATCACTATGGTGCTGACAGATCAAACAGGGTTCAATGTAAGGAACTTGATCTAACTTGACCCAGATGCATGTTGACATGAAAACCAAGTTGCACCAGACAAAATAAGGTTGCACCCTAGTCTCATAAATTTATCAAAGTTGAAACATTGGCCGTCCTGCTGCCACTGTCACATAAATTCATGGTGCATGTAAAATGTAATAGGAACATGTGCACACAATCTTGAAGTACCCGAGTACCCACAGCTTGATAATGTCAAATTACATGTAACACAGGGATTAATGTTGTAGTGTGGTAATTAAGTTTATTCAAAGATCAGTTTTGTGTGGACAAGTATTGGTTAGTCAGACAAAAATATTTTTGACATGCACTTAGTGCATGTTGACATAAATATCACATTTTTCAATACTAGGATGCACTTGTCCATGTTTTATATAGCTAATTCACATCCAGTCAAGGATGATAAATGAGCGAATCTGAACTTACCAGGAAGAAGATGAGTGTGATGCTGAACCAGAGCAGCACTCCGTAGTAGCCCATGCCTTGTAATACTAGGCCTGCCAGCAGACACACAATCATTCTGCAACAACACAACACACTTAGTGGCTGCACCACACTCACCTTGTTTGTAGGGGCAGTATGTATTGGAAACATATCAACTCAAAAATATTCATGATCAGTGGTAGAAACTAACAGTTTTAGTCCACTAGTCCTTATAATGATAAAATATAGCAAAACCCATAAAAATGGCAAATTTCTACTGGTCCTTATGATACCTTAACTATTGGGCAATTTGGCAAGGATTACAGGACTAGTGCCAATTTCTAACGCTGATATGTCTATATATTGATAAAAAATAATTCTGTATGTGTATAAAAACTAGGCTGGGTCCCGTTCCACAAAGCAATTGTAGCACTACGACTGTCATAAGTCTATGTTAAAGTATAGGAGTTACGATCGTCTTAGCGCTACAGTCGCTTTGTGGAAGGGGGCCCTGATCCACTATATGTTTCAAATTGCCTTCTCATGGTCCTTTTTATCCATGGTAATCTTAATACATGTAAACGTTTACATTCAGTAGTAGTCAATTAGCACTTTTGTATCAATATTCATAAATTTGTATTGATACAGTATTGACATTATAACTTTTTCAATACATCAATATTGTGAAATACGATGACAACCCTACTTGTTCACCACTGACGCAGCAGTGACATTTTTCAAGACCATTTATGATGCATAAAATTAACATAGACACCATTAACTTATCCTGCCTGTCCTTAATCTATAAAATGTCACAGATAAGGTGTGAGTTGGCTTAACACAGCTTTGAAAGAATTTCAGTTATGGTATATGATGCCGTGTCACTAGCATATGCATGTGTTGACAAACCAAGAATCATAATCAGGGTGAATCAGTGGTCCTGGCTTGCTAAAGGGATGCAACTCTACACAATGAATTGCTATACCAAGAAATATACCAACCATATCATACTGAAGGATTTCAAGAATGGCTTTCAAACATTGTCTGAACCCCAGAGGATTGAGTGGCGAGAAGACACAAGGCTTCATGAGAAAGTGGCTGCATTGTGACACAGCTGCTTACCCTACAAACTTGTATCCCAGGTAGCTCATGATGTCCAGGTACTTGAGGTCTGTCTTCAGGTTCATCACGTACAGCGTGAACATGACAATCAGCAACTCAATGATAAACCAAACAAGGGCGGAACTCGCTTGAATTCCTAGTTGCTCTGGAGTAAACCTGAAAAACACAAATTGCCCTAAATGTACACCTAGACATGATGGATATCAACAAACACAGTGACAGAACAATAACATGCATCCCCAATTTTGAAACATGGTGTGCATGGGTGTAAACATATTACAACACTGTCTGACTAGAACCGCCATAACCAACTCATTTGGTGATGTGTTACCAACAAATATAACACAACCACCAACTGCATATTGCTTTGAAGATTATATGCTTTCACGTGTCAGTATTGGGCTGGCGAGTGAAATCTTTCTATCTGGATGAGCTTGATGGAATCTAAACAACGGTTAAAAAAATGGACCGATTTCATTTACAAATGCCCGTACATAGAACTGGAGGGGGATTGTGGGGTGCCCTGTTTGAACATGTTTAAGCACAGGTTACATTGATACATTCAGAAGTTTTATAGGTGATACAATACACTAAGTCAGATTTTGAAATAATATTAAACCCCAAAATACAGTCGGTGTGGCGACCCATAAGTGTTGAATGCCCATCTTCAAACTTACCTGCCAAAATTCAGACAATATAATTATTAAAAAATCACAAAAAATAAGAGACAAGTTGTATCTTGATTCAGTTGAAATAATGCAAACAAGTATTTGAGAATCTACAAGGAGTTATAATAAAACTGAATACATAAGTAGTCTTAAAATTATCTGCCATACAGTGGCAGGTGGAGGAAAATTTCATGCAGCCTGACAGAAAAGTTACCAGCCACGTGCAGGCAGGCAGGAGGTTATTTCGGACACTGAACTGAGTGTAAGAGCACATCATTTCTCCATAATTGATCTGGAATGATGGTGACTGGCATAACACAGTATTCACTCACACACTCCATAAACATACCTGTCTTGTGTTCCTAGTACTAGACCGGCTACCAAGATATACGTGACAAATGCCATTACTGAAACAGAAAGAGTGGCAAAACCTAGTTACATGACACTCGTAGCATCTGTCTCATTGGTATGTTTACAGATGTTAGAACATGAAAGGATATGTATAACTCTTATGTTAATTTATAAAAAGGCACAAAAGTAAACTGATGAATAAAAAGCAGGTTATAGACATTTAACACTCTGGGTCATGGTCATGCACTGTGCTGATCCAGCCATTGCTCCGCCATTGCTCCACCATTGCTCCACCATTGCTCCGCCATTGCTCCACCATTGATACTGACACATTGTTGTCAAGAACCCACAGGAGTGTTGTGTTCTGCTGGTATAATCAACCACTAGTTCCTAGACTTCACTGTTAAAAAGCTAAAATACTGCAGACTGTGACAAAACACTCCATTCACTCACTGATGTTTTACAGGGAATTATCTCTTTCAGGAGATTTAATTTAAAGCCGCTTTGACCAGTACCTAGTTAAATCCCATCTTCTCAAAGCAAGGGAGTTAACTGACAATAAAAATCCAGTTTCCATCCTTACCAAACCAGGCTGGAATTCTTGGGCTCGATCGTAGTGCCCCCCTTATGTCCCTTCTATGCCCCACCTACTGACCAATCAGATTCCACCTCTCATATCACTTGCATTTGCTTCCAACAAAATAGCGTCACCCAGTCAAGACGATCTGATCGATGATCAAGATATATATTGTAATAAAACGGGTCTTACTAAGCGAAGTGCATCAAACCAAACATGAAAAGATTTGTAAAATATCTGTCAACGCCCAGTTGACAGAATACATCCTTTGCAAATCCTGCAGTCGACATAAATCTGCACGTTGAAATCCATATTGTTTACTAACCCAATGTTGATTTCGAAACATGATTTTGATTGGACATTGCACAGACTTGTTAGGCCAGCCAAAATAGAACTTGCAGCCTAGTCCGGCAAGGGTGGAAACTGGATTTTTTAAGTCAGTTATCTTCCTTGCCTCACGTAGATGGTTAAATCCCAGCATGACAGACATATTGAGAAATGCCACAGTAATGCAGGTCTAACTAAGACAGACAACACGTTTGTGAAACCAAACACTCCAGTTCCTGGCAAGGCCAAGATACAACTCTGCCATTTCTCATTGATGAACTAGCTTCACTTTACATCCTTTATATATTCTTTAGATAATACCTCACAATTTCTGATAGTTGGTAGGTTTTTGTTTGTTTGTTTCTTGTTTAACACCACTCAGTAATATTCCAGCTACATGACAGCAGTCTGTAAATAATCGAGTCTTGGCCAGACTATCCAGTTATTGACATCATGAGCATCGATCCACACAAGCGAGCCTGACCAACTGATCCCGTTAGTAGCCTCTTACAACAAGTAAAGTTGCCTCTTACGGCAAGCATGGGTTGCTGGAGACCTATTCTAACCCTGATCTTCATGGGTTGATAGTGGGTAGGTTGAAAGCCTTTGCCTATCTTATTAAATTGAGAGTGAAATATTGGTTACACAAGCAAAATTTCCATGATGCATCTAATGAGGACAGTGTAAGGTTATAGAGAAACCTACCTGGAATATATAAATCAGGAGCATTCACTTCATATCTTGGAGCTACAGGCTCATCCTGGTTGTACTTAATGGACCAGTCCTGTAAAACATATGATACGATACAACTGATCACCTTTTGCAGAATTACACATAGTGAGTGAGCGAAGGTTTAATGCCGCTTTTAACAGTATTATAGTTCGCAACTTGTCATCTTAATGTGAGAGGAAAGCCCGAATAATGCAGGTCTCAGACGTTTATCACTTCAGTGAAACCCACGAGCACGGGTATGGTGCTGACAAACCTAGAAACATAATCCGCGTGGACCAGGATTCAAACACACAATCATAGGTTTCTGGCGTGCCCAAGGGACGCAACTCTGCAAATTGAATCGCGGCGCCTTAGGCAACTGGGCCACCCGTGCCCCCAATTACACTTAGAAGTATTAGACACAGCAACAAGAGAGGATGAAATTAACTCTGCTGACAATGATATTGCAATATCTATGGAAAGCATCCAAATTTCAGCAATTTCTACTTGATATGACCCTAAACTTACAAAAGGCCTCTATGAAAAAATTAATCTTTGTGGTGATTTCCAATGCAAAAGTGTAATTTGACAGTATATGACAACTTACTGCGTGTGTAAAAGGGAAAGCCAGTAGCCCCAGCTTCTTGCCAACATAAGCTGTGTCTACAGCAAAGTAATATTTGATTTTGGACGTCGCTACATACTGTTCTATCTGAAAACAAAAACAAAAACAATCACATCTATTATGATCAAATATTATGTTGGATTACCACAGAAAGTAAATTCCATTTTGTAAGTAAATTCCAAAATCTTTTTAAAAATCCAAAGTGACCCAGATTAAAAACATTTATCACTATGCGATATTCTGAGTGAGTGAGTGAGTGAGTGAGTGAGTGAGTGAGTGAGTGAGTGAGTGAGTGAGTGAGTGAGTGAGTGAGTGAGTGAGTGAGTGAGTGAGTGAGTGAGTGAGTGAGTGAGTGCGTGCGTGCGTGCGTGCGTGCGTGCGTGCGTGCGTGAGTGAGTGAGTGAGTGAGTGAGTGAGTGAGTGAGCAAGCTGTTTTAACACCGCTCTGAACAGTATTCCAGTTAGTAATATCACGGAATGTCAGCCTAATGTGGGAGGAAATCCCGCAGTGATGCAGATCTCAGATGTTTACCGGTACCACTTTGGTGAAAGCCACAAGCACGGATATGGTGCTGCCAAACCTAGAAACATTATTGGGGCAAACCTGGATTCAAAACCACAATCATTGTATAATTGGGCATACCACAATCATAGGCTTCTGGTACAGCCAAGGGACGCAACTCTGGACACAAAATTGTGGCACCTCAGATGACTTGGTAACCTGTTCCCCCACTTGGCCATATGCGCCTCTTTTCAATGAGCTAATTTCAGCATTGGTCATATCTGATGGAAATGACTTTAAATGAGCTCATGACTTACATTCTTGTTGAGCATATCTTTACTCTGGCCGGCCCATGAGGAGCCATATTGCATAGCCATGTTAGCCATGGGGTCCTGGATATACTGTTGTCCTGGAAACTGATTTGGACCACCAGGTGGCACACCACTAGGGTCATAACCTGCAAACACAAGACAGTAATACCAGTGACAGGATTCATTTAATAATCTGACACACATTTTTTCCCTTTCATAATATAACTTATCATACCAGAATTATGAGATCTGATTGGTCCATGTGATCTTGATAAAATACTGTGTATCTCGCCATGGAGAGAAATACATTTCTCAGCGGGAGAATAAATCCCTTATACCCCACCACGAGCAAATCAGGCTGCACGTGGATTTCTGAGAGGCAGAATAAATCCCTTATACCCTGCTTCGATGCAAAAAGCCTCCTGCTTTTTCCGAGTCAATGAAAGTCACGTGACACAGCACAAGTTAACCTCAGCTCAATCAAACAGCTGTTTTCTATCAATTTTGAATTTGTTTTTATTCTTTTACAATGCCATTAAAACATGTTGGTAAGATAAATTTGTTGTAGCAGGATCACCTGCATTTGGTTTTATACCACAATCCGGAGGCGAGAGGTATAAAACCTAACGAGGGATGCATAAAATTCCATGTACCCCACTTGATCCTTTCTACAACCTAAAATGCAATGGGCTAAGGAAGGAACCAACACCAATCACATCAACATACAGTATTGATAAGTCCTCAATCAAGGCTGCTGTTAACCCCGTTTCCTATCAGCACTGTATTGACTTATGACACTGGTTTTGACACTTACATAACAAGTATTTGAGACATGGAAGCAGGCAAAAGAAGTTTATATTTTTTCCTGTTTTAGATCCCATGGACAAAATCACACTCTACCACTGTCTGCATTAACGTTCTACATGGATTCTGTTCATAACTTTCCTATCAGTACATATGTACATAAAAATGTATTTGTCTTAAATCTGAAAAGGTTTCAAACAAGCATTTACCGCCATCTCAATCTATAGCTGCCATACTAGTCATTTCTGTGGGAATAAAATCAATATGGGTAGAAATCAGTAGACATTGAGTGAGTGAGTTGGGTTTAACACCGCTTTTAACAGTATTCCAGTTATATCGCGGCGTGTCAGCTTTATTTTGGAGGAAAGACCGAATTGATGCAGGTCTCAGACGTTTACCACTTTGGTGAAACCCACGAGGACGGGTATGGTGCTGACACACCTACAAACATAATCGGGGTGAACCGGGATTCGAACCCACAATCATAGGTTTCTGGCGTGTCCAGGGGACGCAACTCTGCACAGCGAATCGCGGCGCCTTAGACGAAGGCTCCTTCAGTTGGGTTCTTGTAATGTAGTGACATACACCTAGTGGCCCTTCAGAACCCACCTTGTGGTTGTCCATAGTTGCCTGGGGGAGGAAAGTGTCCTGGTTGAGGAGGGGAACTGGTGTCTTGAAACAACTGGGGCTTCTGTGACTTGGTGCCCTTGGCCTTCCGCTTTTGCCCAGCTGCAGAGAACATTCACACATGCAACACCATACCTTAACTCCCATTCATCTATCTAATATTTAATGATTCATACACAGAATAATCTTTACAAAACTTGTTTTATGTACTTAAATGAACCTATAATTTAATATTAGCAAGAAACACATATGCAAAATGAGTTAATTTGAATAACAATAGGATAGTGTTTCATGGTTCATAAGTATGATTATAAGAGGATTCAGGTCATGTATACACTTACCATCATGTATGTACACTCAAACCACAGATAGCGTATCAGTACATACAACACTAACAAGCCAAAGGCATTTGCAGGAGTAAAGTGCTTAGTAAGCAAAACAGTCTACAATGTCTACTTTACTACTTGTAATATCTGTTTCAATACAAACATTTGAGTTTGAAGAAATAGAAGCCTCAAATTCTCAGATCTTTTTTGTATCAGTCAGCAATATTTCAGCTTCATCACATAAGCCAATGAGTGAGTGAGTGAGTTGGGTTTAACGCCGCTTTTAACAGTATTCCAGTTATATCACGGCATGTCAGCTTAGTGTGGGAGGAAAGCCCGAAGTGATGCAGGTCTCAGACGTTTTCCACTTCGGTGAAATCAACGAGCACGGGTAAGGTGCTGACAAACTTTGAAACATAATCGGGGCGAACCGGGATTCGAACCCACAATCATAGGTTTCAGGCATGCCCAAGGAACGCAACTCTGCACAGCGAATCGCGGCGCCTAAGACGGCTGGGCCACCCATGCCCCCCATAAGCCAATAAAGGAAACTGGCGGGTGAGGCAAACCAGTGGTCGATGACGAGAGCAACAATCCATATGATCAGTTAATGACCCACAACTGAAATTTGCCCTTCATTACAATCATCAAAGTACCATCCATACAGCAGCCATTGTGACCACCTGATCCACACTTAGTTGCCCCAGGCCCTGAATTACCAGGGACTGCAAAATGTCCAAGCATGTCAAACAAGATCTAATGTATTTCACAAGAACACAAACATAGAACCAGAGTATCCTCTGTCTGGATGCCTGTGTGTGACGTCTAGTGCCAGCTGTAGTGTTAGTTGAACTGCCTGTTAGGGGTTCTACATGTTCTATGTCATGTATGTATGATGCTACAGCATTACCTCATAAAACCATGCACATTAATAACACATAACATCAAGCAATGTTCTTTATTCAGTACCAAATCAGGGAACATTCCTGGGAAGTGGGGTTTGTTTTGACAAGCTCATTTGTATGGAAGAAAAATGTAGTTGTCTCTAGCATTAAAATGGCCTTTTCACTGTGATTTATAAGGTTCTTGAGAGTGATATCTAAACTGCACTCAAACTGCCATTATAATCCTCCACACATTTACACAACCTGTACAGACACGAGAGATCTTTATGGGTTTGCACAGACAATTTCAGTGCATTGCAGTACTTTTTACTTTGACTGTTTGTCCAGTCTGAATGTGAATTTTCTACCAAACATATGGAGCAAAAAATATTTTTGTTAATACTATTATTAAATTTTCATCTTGTGCCATTCTTTCTATATTATGATTTGTTTTGTCTTGCCACTTTTCCAATGGTCCCAGTCCTAATGTTAACAGAGAAATCTTTTTTGATTGGCAATGCAAATTTGATGGGCAACAGGGGGGACTATGATGTAGCTATGCCAGTATTAGAAATTGGCACTCATCCTGTTGTCCTTGCCAAACTGCCCAATAGTTAAGGTATCATAAGGACTAGCATGTTATCATTATGAGGACTAGTGGACTAAAAATATTAGTTTCTACCGCTGTATGCTGTTAAAGCATTTGCTCACCATACTAACATTTGATACCCCCAAAATGTAAAGCCTGTTCTCATTCCCTGTCGGGATGATACTGATAATAGTGATAGGGATGGAATATCTCATCTCCTCAAATAAATTGAAAAGGAATAGCAATGGACCACAACGATGACTCAGGGAATTGTAACCTTAGGTGTCGGGTACTTTACCCTTCACCCTTGGTCACTTGTTCCTGATCAACCACTCCTGAGTTCTAGGGATGATGTAGCTCTCTCTCAAAATTGCAAGTCGGATGGTTTGCTCAAGTCCATTTATTGGTGATTGTAGTTATTGTAAATATACACACAAGGTCCTCAGATAAGTTCTTGTTGTTGCCTGTATTACTTAAATTCAACACATACCTAGATGATGCGTTGAAGAGCCTGATAGCTTTTCTGATCAACGGTTAACTTTACCACTTTTCTGACCCAGAATTCCAATCTACAGAGAGAACCTCTCTGTTCAGCCGTGAGTTTCCGAATCCCAGCACCACTCCCGGACAACTAACAAAATACTATCAATGATAGTTTTAGCTCCTCCCACCAAAATCATATTTGACATCATGAGAAATGAGTCATAACGCTCACTCCCCTATGAACCCCAATTCCCATTCCAATCAGTCTTTCTATCAAGTTCTTCTTAACCAAACACTCAACTAATTTCCTAAATTAATGGTCAAATCATTGGTCAACCGAACATACCCACAACTCAAACAACCCTAGATGAAAACCCAATACTCTGTCACTGGAAGGCGCCGAAAAGATACCCCATCATGTTATTTAGACATTCCAATCACGCAGTAGCTTGTTTGACACCAGCATGTAAAGCTCAAAAGAGGTTAAGGAACACCCGATTCTTTCATATTACCGGTACTATAGTTAATCTGTCATGACAGATTAACTATGCTAGTTACATGAAAAAAGGGGTGTTCTTTAACTTATTTTGAGTAGTATATATCACTGTAACTACCCAACCTGTGTTAGTCAGATCTAAACATACTAATGACTAGCATGGCATTGCATGATGTCCTAGAGACCTCCTCTGTCCATGAACCTATACAGGCTAGAGATCAACCATCATAATGACATGCTAATCCTATTATTAAATACAGAAGTTCAACAATATGCTGTATTAAGTGTTTTCATGCAGGTTGCTGTAATGAACCATACCTCTCACATCAATATACAATCTCTGTTAAAACTAATGCTTCAAGAAATAAGGTAATGTTCCATTCAGTCCCTGACTAGTTATAATTGGATGTACATTTATCTACTTAAATAATACCTCTTGTTTTAAATAAAAATCACATTTATGCTTATAGTGTTTTACATGGTAAGACTAGAGGCTTATGGTTAGTAATTAATGAAGCATTCTGTATGTTCAGTGTTTTAAACAGGTTAACAACATCAAAACACATTAATGACCTCCCTCTAATCAAGCAGCATCCCATGTGCAATGCAATTGGCTTGTTCCTGTATCTGAATCTCTAAGGTATAATTATAAACATTGACTAAGATGCTGAGCTATGCATTATAAAATCTAACATGTTCAAAATAAATGAAATCATTTACCTGCTCATATTAAAAGATATTTCTTAAATCACAATAACAGAGAATGCTGAACATGCTTAAGAACAGTAACAAAACACAAATAAATGAAAAATAATATCTTAACATCTAAAATAGAGTTTAGAAGTTCAGCCATGCTGTCATGCTCAAAGTTAAGAACGGCAGGCAGATTTTCACCTACTCAAACATACTTTGTATACAAGTATACTGTAGCTACAAGGCATAGCATAATGATTTAGGTTAGGCAGTATTAATGTGGACAAGGTGTGCATTGGAACTTGGAAATGGAGCAATGTCCTACATTAGGAAACAATCATTACTACTGCTTTTGTACATGTGAATAGGCTGTAATGAGGTACCAGGCAATAACCAGGCTATATTGTTAGTGGTATTCAAAGCAACAGCATCAGAACCTTTGTACAATGCATTAACAGGTACAAATTATTGTTGACATCTTTGAAATGTTGTTTTGAACATGCACAAATAATAATTGTAATGTCTTTAAATCTTATTATAGGAGCCTAATGCTGATATAAATACAAAAGTCATGAGTGAGTTGGGTTTAATGATGTTCAGGGACAGACAACCGACTGATTTCAAATGTCACAGAAATTTATCAATATCACAATTTTAATCTCTCGTACAAGCAATACTACTATGACTATGTGAGGCCCATTTATAATAACATCCCCAACCCCCACCCAGTAACAGTATTAAAAAAATCCCTTTGAAAGAAGATTGTGGATTATACTGTAACAAATTACAGTGAAAAAGTTCATATGCAACAGGCTTTATACACATATTTCTTGTCTTAATCAGATATTGCATAGTAATATTCTTCATGCACTAAGGATCATCTTCATGCACTATGGATCACCATGCATTATATCCTACATTCACGACAATGCGTATTACTATATAGTGCTAGTGTGCAGGGACAAAGCTCAGGCTTTCAATGGAAAGGTTTTGCTCAGCTGGCACGTCACTTGAGACACACAACATCCAGACGTCAAATAAACTGGACGTACACTTACGCTGTCTGAAGCCAGATGGGACGTCCATTTTCTGAAATTAAACAAACTATCAATAACAAGTTATCAAAGAAAATATAAACACAATACAGCTGCCTATACGATTAATCGTGCAAGAACATTTTACCACGTTGCACTGTCAAACTCGATTCTGAGTTGGCAAGACACACAGACAGACAGGGGCGTTAATCCAAGCTTTTAGAGTTACCTCCCATGTAACCAACAAGGAAAAGCACATATGAACAGTACATTGAGAATGTGCAAAGCTATTGTTACACGCAATTATTTTTTTTTAAATTCGCGAGCCTCAATCTCCCACTATGTAACCTATTTTGACATGTGTTTCTTGATATCAGCACACAAAGGTTTAGAAGATTTTAAAAGCATAGAACTGTATCAATTTTTCATGACCACATTAATAACATCACTGACACATGATAACATCAAGCACAATTCTTTATTCAGTACCAAATCAGGGAACATTCCTGGGATGTGGGGTTTGTTTTGAGAAGCTCATTTGTATGGAGGAAAAATGTAGTTGTCTCTAGCATTAAAATTGCCTTTTCACGGTGACTTAAAAGGTTCTGGAGAGTGATATCTAAACTGCACATAACAAGCCCCCAAAGCCATTATAACCATCCACACATTCACACAACCTGTACAGACACGAGAGGCATCGTGCGCCCTGTGCATTTTGTACCTCCGGTTTTGTGAAAACAGCTTAGAGTTACCCATTTTGTCCATGGTAAAGGTTTAGAAGATTTTAAAACAATAGAACTTTATCAATTTTTCATGACCAAGTACATTTGTAAGATAATATATTTGTAATACAAACTTTTTACTACGTATTGAAAGCAATTGATACTGAGATGTTCCTGAATCAAACGCAAGCCTACAGCATGTAGGAATTATCTGCTGTGTTGTGTGTACAGCCATTCGTCACCACTCGTCCCTTTCCGTGACCCGCTATTCGGCTTGTCCCGGAATAACACGAGTTGGTCACGAATGGTGTACAGCGGGAAATGTAAAACGTCGTCATTCACATCAATGTATCTATTCATGGAAGGTTTTAAATAGCGGGAATGTGTTCCTTTCTTACTTCATAAACACATAGTATAGATATTTCTTATCTCAAAAACGCATGTCTTTATGCCGGCATGATGATGGATCCAAAAATAATAAATGTTTACTGCCGTGATAACTCTAAAACGTCCTTGCGTCAATGCAACGCCACATTTGCTCGTTGAAAACGGCACCAATTGTCAAAGACATCATCGTTATCTTAAACTCAAGACATTTAAAACAACAATGGCTTGCCATTTGTCATGTATCATTCACACCTGAAGTACTTACTTAGTAACTTACAGAGGCATGCGTACTGACAAAACTAGCCAATTAATGACAGGTTGCATGGACACAATTCTGTGAGCGAACACCATAGAATTAAACTATATTTCATGTTTAAAATTTCCCATGATTAAGTTCTCTCCCCCCTCCTCCCGATGAAAACTGTATCCATTAATTCATGAACGAAGGTTGTAGCTTAAACATGTAATAATGCCAGTGATTGTTCTGCTAGTACCTGATAAGAATTAACAACAGAAGTATTAAAAGGTGTTAGGGAATATAAGTAAGAGGAGACTGACGGTGCATGTTCATCGTACATGTGACTATCGGTATTAATACTCGTCATGTACAATGATTTTTCTAAGTTGAAAAAAACCGTTTTGATTTACTCGCTCCTTTTAAAAATATAATGTGATGAATTAGGACATGCTTATGACTACTTTTGCCTTTAAGTGTACGGTATTGTTTGAAGAACTTAGGCGTTTACGTTTGTTTATGAGCGTTTTAAGTTCTCAAAAATAACTTTGCAGGTGCTTGAGGGGAGGTAACCCGCACTTGCTTGACTATTGCGTGTCGTGTGCAAACCGCGGCAGTTTCTTAATCATGGCTGACCACCACGACTTGCCATTTAAAGCTGAATATGCGAAGAGTGGCCGTGCTTCTTGTAAAGGATGCAAGGGCTCAATCAGTCAGGATTCTCTCCGGTTGGCTATCATGATTCAGGTATAATGAACTAGCGACATGGAAGGAGGGTTTCATGATTTGTAATCAATGTCCCACGATGTTGTTCTTCAACTTCGTCTTCGGGTGCAAGATAACAACGTTTTTTTCCGTTTAATTTAGATATAGTTCTATACATTTTGGTACGACATTTTGTTTATTTAATATTGTTTATTTTGTTATAGGTTGAGATTTACCATGTCATCGTATCTATAAGTGTATACTATATATATATATTCGTAAGCTCACAGCTCAACATGCTTATGCCGGCAGTCAGATTGTACCACGTGACGACTAGGCAACCAATCAACGAACGTATGGTAGCTACGGCGGGTGGTGTAAATAATGCAATAGGTGCAAAATGGATTCGCCCCTGCAATATATTGGGTTGTTTTTAATTTATTATGCCGCAAAATTTACACTATTTGGTAAATTTGTCTTTGTATCTTTTCAAAATGAAAACTTGACACTTACAATGCTATAAACGACAGGACCAGTACATCTGTTTCCTGTACAAGGCTTGAATATAAACATAAACATTAACAATGGAATATATGCACTAGATTTCTAAATGTGAGCATTTAAAGTATTTTAGCTAAAATTGATAGAACTATCATAAAAATGTTTGCATGTGTATCTTAAATCTACGGGTCACTGTAACTTGACAGCAGTCTGCTTTCCCCTAACGACGGGTTGCTGTCATCTATTGCTCTGTGACATCATTGGGTCACATTTCTTGTTTGTGATGTCATCCTATATTATGTTCTATGATGTTACCATTTGTAACTCTGTGGCTTCAGTTGTAAGCTTTTCTTATGTATTATTTTTATTATTAAAGTCATAAAGGTGGTTTCTTTAAAAAATAATATCTTTTCGCATCAAAGTTGATGATATTAAACACAAAACAGTGTCGAATAACATATAGCATATTAGTGAATTAAATGGGTAATAGGGCATGGTGCTGATGTCACACATGCTCTAGCAATAGAATTGGCACTAGTCCTACAGCCCTTGCCAAACTGCCCAATAGTTAAGGTTTCATAAGGACTAGAAGAAATTTGCCATTTTAAAGGGTCTTGTTATATGTTATTATTATAAGGACTAGTGGACTAAACATGTTAGTTCTACAGCTAATGCTGTCTTGATCATTTATGGATTAGAGTGTGAAATTAAATGTTTTATTTGAATGGCCTAAAATTTTGAGGAGGGAGCCTTGAAAAAGCTTTGATTTTTGTGGCTGAAATTCTGTATGGACTCTGACTATACCAGTGTCTCATTCCTCTTTAACATGAAGCTGACATTCTGTTAAAAATGTCCAAAAACCAAATTTAAATTATTAAATTCCAGACAAGTAGTCATCAAGTCCAGACAGGTAGATTTTGCCATTTTAGTTGAGTGACGAGTGAACTGGTTTAAAATTTCCACACTCTTTGACAACTTGGCCCTTCCATTGCATGGCTTTTGGGAACATGATGAAATCATATATCTGTTGTACTAACATATTTTGAAACCGATATTCATTCCTTTTTTTTGTTTCAGTCACCCCACTTTGATGGAAAGGTAAGTCAAACACTAATTTGTGTGTTTTATGTGTTTAAATGAATTTAAGCTGCCATTACCTGTAGAGGATGTGCATACGCAAGATGGCACCTGTTACAGGAACAGGTGACTGTATGAGATTGGGTCACTGCTCACATGTCAGCAGGCCACAGATTTCTGTAACTCACACATAAACATGTTTGAGAATATTAAACGATATGGAACAATAGTACCTACAAACTCATAGAAGTACATCTAGTTGTATATTTCAAGCTTCATTCACCTTCATTGGAGCAAACACTTAATACAGCGAATACAGTATGCTATATTTCATGTAATGTGAACTTTGATAACAAATCAACTGTGTTTTTGAGATGGTCACCTTGATTTCCCAAACTGTTTCGGTTTTGGTTGACCATTTGTTGACATGCCTGTATGTAAATTTTGTCTTATCTTTATGAGGTCCCCAACTGGTTCCACTATGCCTGTTTCTGGAAACGGTCGAAGGTGCAAAATCCAGACGATATCCATGGATTTCATTCTCTCCGGTGGGAGGATCAGCAGAAGATTAAGGACAAAGTTGGTGGTGAGTTGGAGAACTCTGCATGTTACCTTGGTTACAGGGGTAAATGACACAAATTATATCCAACTTGACCACTGTTTATTTCCAACCAGTAATGTAGTGCCATTGTTACTACTTTTTGGGATCCCATTCAGGTTAATGTACAATGATATAGGTGTCCGATTACCTATGCTTGTGACCCGTGAAGATCCGGGTTATTTGAGGCATCTATGCTTGTCGTAAAAGGGCGACTAACGGGATCGGATGGTCAGGCTCTCGCTGACTTGGTTGATGCATGTCATCGATCCGAAATGGCGTGGATCGATGCTCATGATATTAATCACTGGATTGTCTGGTCCAGTCTCGATTATTTACAGACCGCGGTCATATAGCTGGAATATTGCTGAGTGCGGCGTTAAACAACAAACCAACCAACCAACCTATGCTTGTTGTACAAGGCGATTAAAATGGATCAGGTGGTCAGGCTGGTGTTGTTGTTTTATGGGGCAGCGGTCAAATTTTCCAAAATTTCCTGCTTTTGTTTTCCATCTGCAGGATTCGCACTGATTTGAAAAGGGCTTGAATTGTAAATAAAATCAGTCTAGATATAACAAAATCGCTTCAGAAAATTATTAACTGTCAAGTTTCGATGCATTGTTTGCTTCCTGTCTCCTGCCTGGTTATGGGTTTTGTGTGATAATTTCTTTGCACAATATTTTACTGAATTTAGTTTTATTATCATGTTATCATGAGTGACACTTGAACTTCATTGTCCCTGAAATGAAACTAGGTCATGAATCCAGATTAGGTGCTGAGGTGGTCGGACCACAGGCCCTTGTGTCATTGCTGTCAGAGTGTCAGAGTTCCTGCTGGCTTTTAAAACTGCCAGTCCTGGTGGGCAACTATAAAAATTATCAGACCCCCCGAATTTATGTCAGTCCCAACTTTCAACAAATAAAAAAACGTATGAAATTTACCAGATTTTATTTCTGTCAATATGTTCAATGCAATGATGTCTTCTCTGATATAACTTAGTTAGATTTACACGTCATTCAGACATTCACACAAAGTACAGTTACAATTGTCTCTCTCTCTTTTTAATATTTCGAATTATATATTCATCCTTGAAGCAAAGCGAAATGTTATATCCCTGAACTAAAAATAGACAAGGGGAAACCCTAATGGTAACAGACAAGCTGACTTTGTTCCGAAAAATATACTTATATGCATTTGGCCAATTTTTTGTTCAACAACAAAGATTTATTATGTACTTTATTTGCCTGTCCACAGGGACCGGCAGTCACATGAGTTACCGGTCCAATCAGAGAGCTGCTTTTCTAAAGGGCCTGTGGGTCAGACTGGTGGGGTTTTTGAGGGGCAGCCATTGTTTTTCTCTAAGAACAAACTTAGTTGCCATGGGTACATGGTTGATTGATTGCATGCATGTCATCATACCTTGACAACCTGAACATAACTGATAATGTCCATCACTGGATTATCCAGACTCAATGATTATCCCCCAGTTTGAAAAACGGGAGAAGGGATATCATGGGATACATCTGCCCGAGGCAAGTGAGTTAACTGACTATAAAAATCCAGTTTCCACCCTTGCTGAACTAGGCTGGTATTATGGAGTTACATTTTGGCTGGACTAACAAGTCTATGCATAGTCCAATCAAAATCGCGCACCGAAATCGAAATCTGGTTCGTAAAGTGTCATGCAGATTTCGGTCGACTGCAGGATTTGCAAAGCATGTGCACCGCTAACTCGTTGTCAACAGATATTTTCTAAATCTTTTCATGCTTTTAATCAAGGTGCTCACGTGATTTGATGCACTTTGCGATGTAAGACTCGTTTTATCACAATATAGATCTTGATTATCAATCAGATCGTCCTGACTGGGCGCCACCGTTTTTGTTTGAAGCAAATGGAAGTGATACGAGAGGATGAATCTGATTGGTCAATAGGAGAGGCATAGGAGCAAAACTCTAAAACCATTGAATGTTACTGGATTAAACTTGTTATAGAGATCAGTCTAGTGGTGAACTGGTGCCTTTTGATAAGAAATGATAAAATTGTACTTCATTAAAAAGGAAGTACATGTAATAGCAAAATGGATGGTCCTATCTAAGCTATTAATTAGTCCTTAGATTCAAACATTCTCCTGATTGTGCAATAGCGAAATGGATGGTCCTATCTAAGCTATTAATTAGTCCTTAGATTCCAACATTCTCCAGATTGTGCAATAGCGAAATTGATGGTCCTATCTAAGCTATTAATTAGTCCTTAGATTCAAACATTCTCCAGATTGTGCAATAGCGAAATTGATGGTCCTATCTAAGCTATTAATTAGTCCTTAGATTCAAACATTCTCCAGATTGTGCAATAGCGAAATTGATGGTCCTATCTAAGCTATTAATTAGTCCTTAGATTCCAACATTCTCCAGATTGTGCAATAGCGAAATTGATGGTCCCATCTAAGCTAATAATTAGTCCTTAGATTCCAACATTCTCCAGATTGTGCAATAGCGAAATTGATGGTCCTATCTAAGCTGTTAATAAGTCCTTAGATTCCAACATTCTCCTGATTGTGCAAGTGTAATTTGACTAATGTTGCACCATTAGAAATGGAGTACTAGCCTTATCATCATGATCATAAAATGTAAAGAATTACTAAAACAAATGACACAAATTTATTTGATGTCATGGCTGGTTTTATCACTTTGACAATGTCTGAGAAAGACGACACTGGTATTTTGATTAATATATATCACCACTGAATTTCGCTCATGATATCATGGCAAATCTCGATGTGTGAAACTGAATTTGACGCTTTTTCGACACACCATAAAGTGACTGCTTATACCATGTAAATAATGCTTTGAAAAGATACAATTAGATAGTTTACCGTGCATTTTAATTGGGCAAGACATGCACCTGTTTGGCAACAATTTTATGTAATCAAATACACAAAAGAATATTTCAACAACAACAAAATTATATTAAATTTTGGACATGTATTTGTTCATTAATATGTGATTATGTCTCTTTACTTTGTCTCAAAATATTATACAGTAAAAGATGAGAAGAATTTAGCTCCTTTGGTATAGAATTATCAGGATAATTGTATAAGGTTCGGAGTCAGTATACTGTGTCTGAGTGGGGTATTCATGTTAAACTGCAACATGGTATCTCAGCATGCTCAGTGAGCTAGCACTATCAGTCGGCATTTGTCCGAACTAATACATACACGCATGCATGCACACACACTTCTATATAAGTGCAATAATCTTGGACACACTTTAACCCCATTTCACCTCAACTCAGGAGTCACCCAGATTTGTTAAAGATGGCAATGAAGAGAATTAACATGTTTAACACTGTGTGATTATAAGGATGTTTAACACCGTGTGATTATAAAGATGTTTAACACCATGTGATTATAAGGATGTTTAACACCGTGTGATTATAAAGATGTTTAACACCATGTGATAATAAGGATCTTTAACACCATGTGATAATAAGGATGTATTCCCTCCCAGGTGGAGCCGGTGATGCTGGGGATAATGTTGTGCCAGGGTCCGGCTACAATGATTTCACAACTGAGTATGCCAAGTCGGGCCGCAGCACGTGTCGAGGATGTGACAGCAAGATAGAAAAGGTTCACAGCTCTACTGCTATATACACTACTCAAAAGAAGTTCAGAACACCCACAATTGGAAGTCTGTGCGTTGCAATAACCACCAGCCATGAAAGATTAACCATGGTCATATTAAAAAGTTGGGTGGTTTCTAACATCTTTTGAGTAGTGTACATGTGTTCTCCGTCAGTGTCCTCATGAATGCAATCATCACGTCGTGATAAATGATTGTATAGATTACCTGTCCCACCAGTTTGGGTGTTAAGTATTTTATTTACAGCAAATAATCTTAAATTATGCCTTTTGCATAAACCAGATTAAAATCCATGAAATATCTCAAAGCTGTTTTCATTCAGCATGTTTAATGTTCATGCCATATTTTGAGATAAGAAGAGTGTTGGTTGTGTATACACGAAATGAACCTTCCGCAAACTGACTGACCAATGAAATGACTGACAAGAATTTGACGTTAACCAATCAGAAAGCAGCTTTCTTGAGATAAATGGCACTGGTTTCAAATTGGCAACTTCCATTCAAGACTGCTTTGGAAAAGTATTTAGACAAATTTATTCAAAACTTAACTTAACAAAAGAGCATTGTAGAATATCTCCACTTCTGTGTGGAAGTACATCCCATGGGCTTTGCAAAGTCTCTTCTGTTCAAATGTTTAACCCTTTCAAGTGAGTGATAGGTGATTTTGATGGATTTATTGGTACATCTTGAACTGTTGTTCGGAATAATATCCTCTCTTTGAGATTGACTGCCTCTGTGGTCTAGTGGTAGAGTGTCAGCCGACCTCATACCAAAAGACTTTAAAAGATGGTACTTGTTGTTACCCTGCCTGGTACTTGGCATTAACTTATAATAACTTCATAAGGGGCTAAAACAAGGACTGGTCAGCTTGGAGTCGGTATACTGTGTCTGAGTGGGGTATTCATGTTAATCTGCAGGATGGTATCTCAGTGGGCTAGCACTATAAAAACAGCATTCGTCTGGACTAGTACAAGCAGCCACACAAGCACACATGCATACACATCGCTATATAAGTGCAAAAATCTTGGACATGACATTAAAATCCATTTCACCCCATGTCACCTTTTTTAGTTTGCATGATTAGAAAACACTATCAGACTGTCACTTTCCTGATCTGGAATGCAGCGCTCTGATTGGTCGGATTAAAGGTCGTTTTGACATGACCTGTAATGGGATGTCCTCAAATCTTTGTTTAGTGGTAGCGAGAACTAAGATCTGGTTTTAATTAGATGAGAGATGAATCAGATGATTATGTTTCTTTGAAGTCAACTTTACCTATAGCATGCTTTCTCTACCACCAGGATGCTGTTCGTATATCCAAGAAGGACTACACCAGTGAGCGTGCCAAGATGTATGGCCCCCAAGACCTGTGGTACCATAGCGAGTGTTTCAAGGAGAACAGAGAAGACCTTGACTTTGGCCCTGACCTCAATGTTGAAAAGTAGGTTTTTTTTGTTTTTTTTATGCATGAGCCCTCTGGGGATTCCAGGTTTCACCGTAGGTCTCCACCAACCTATGCTTGCCGTAACAGGCGACTGAATGGATCGGTTGTCAGTCTCCGTGAATTGGTTGATGCATGTCAATGCGTAGATGATGTCCATCACTGTATTGTCCTGTCCAGACTTGATTATAATCAGACCACTGTTATGTGGCTGGACTATAACTGAATGCAGCATTACACAACAAACAAAAGACAACTGCATTTTCAGCATTTTCAGCATTTCATGGGTTATTGTATTGTATGTGCCTGTCGTGTTGAAACTTTTGTTGTTTATTATCCCCCTCGAAGTAGGGTGGGGATATAGGAACAGAGTTTGTCCATCAGAATTTTCCCCAAAACCATTCAAGTTAGAGAAAGGAAATTTTACACACTGATGATGCTGGTCGTGATCTCAAATGAGTTCGAAAATTGGTGCAGTTCATTAACTTTTTACAGAGTTATGGCCCTTGCTCCATGCTTTTCAACTTAGTGCAAACTGTGTGAAATGGGGACAGATTTTCTCAGCAACTACTGTTATTACGTCAATGAAAGTTTGCATGCTTATATAAGAGATACTTGTCAAGACTGAGTTCCATAATTGCCCCGTAGATTTTTTGTTTACAGAGTTATGGCCCTTGATGCATGTTATTTTACTTTGTGCATAATGTCATCAGAAACAACTGAAGTAAGCTTTTCTAAGAAATACTTATCTAGACTGAGTTATTTTTTCCAGAGTAGGGGCCTTTTGGGTGTATTAATTTCACATTTAATCATTTTTTCTGATGACATCAAGTGGCCCAAGAGACTATCTCTTCTTGAGTCTTTATAGGTTTATATTTTATATTCACAACTGTATGAACAAGCAAAATTCTAATGTGCCCCATGGCAGTGGATAGTGATAACGCTGTTTTCTTGTTTACCCTTCTTTTGTCTGTATGATCTAATATTGTAAAATAAACCGGAAATCTTCATGTGAGCTACATGACCTTCTTGTTCTCTCTACATCAGTGGCATGAAAAGATAAGTTCATGATGATTCAAGTGTTAACATGATTAAGTTAATGCTGTAAATGACTGAAGATCATAACCCTTAAAATTACACTCCTTAAACATGCTTTCCTTCATGTTCTTGAATATGGCCAAGATGCTGCCAATGTGACGTTAGATATTAACTCCCCCACTCATGTTCTTGACATTCATTGTAATTCATATGAAATCTTGTACAGAAACATGAATGTTTTATTGGTGTTTTATCTTTAGGATCTTGGGCTTTGGAAAGTTGAAGAAAGAAGACAAAGATGAACTGATTGAGTTGATTGGGAAGGGAGACCCAAAAGCGTAAGTCAAGTGTTCACCTCTCATGGTTTTATTCCCTACATGGGTACAATGTGTGAAGCCCATTTCTGGTGTCCCAAACCACGATATTGCTGGAGTATTTGCTAAAAGGAGTAAACCGAACTCACTTCAGCTGGCTAAAACAGTTGCAATCTTACTGACTTTAGATTAAGCCATCGCTTATTCATTAACATTGACTTCTGAGTCCTATAAATACATTCATCCTCGATTGTTCAGTCTAATGTGTTTCCATTCTCACTATATCCATCTCTCATCTCAGTAGCTTGATGTGGAACTACTTTCCCTCATGAACGTGAAGATTCAGGGTAGAATAGGTCTTCAGCAACCCATGCTTGCTGGAAAAGGCGACTATGCTTGTCATAAGAGGCGACTATCAGGATTGGGTGGTGAGGCTCACTGATTGATGCATGTCATTGTAACTCAATTGCGTGGATCGATGCTGAGTGCGGCTTTAAACAACAAACAAATAAAATGTTCGCTCATGAGTGTAATTTGATTGAATAACTACAACCAAAATCATTACATAGCTATGCTGGCAAATCATCCCATTATATATCCTAATAGAATGGATAATCGACGGTACATAATGGGTGGTGGATACTGTGCCTAAGTCATGGCACATCATTTATGCAAATTTGTGAAAATTGGAGAAAAAGTGCAAATACAAAGGTACACTTCTGTTAGTTATTGTACATTTATGCAAAATTAATAAGAGAAATTTTGACTCAAAGGTGAAAATCTTTTTGCCTGAATTAAAACGTTTCATCATTTGCTTCTTGATTTCTTAAAGCAAGTATGTCATTGATTAGCTGTTCCTGGGAACAAGTACTTGATATGGAATGTAACGTTGTTTCCCTGAAGAATGAAGCATCATTACTGGCTACAAGATGTGTTTATTGGTTAACAAGGAAGGTGTGGCAACCGTGACATATTGCTCACTTGTGTTGTTCTGTGTTTCAGATATTATTTGCACACTTTTGGAAAAGTCATGTGCCAATTGTCCCTTTGGGGTTAAATCCTGGCTAAGCACTGTAGGATAGTTTTGTGGTGCATACTGAATGTGTGCACGTTGGAATTGTATTTGGTAACTATGTTCACAGATTTTAATCCTGATTTTAGGCAAAAGAGGAAGGCTGAAGAAATTAAGGAAAAAAACAAGAAGAAAGCAAAGAAAGAAGACACAGAAGAAGAAAAGAAGCTGAAAGTTAGTAGAATGTTCTAACCAGCATGTTACCCCAGGGAGCTTATGGGGGAAAAGGGGCGGTCGGCTAGCCCAGTGGTTAAAGCATTCGCTTGTCACGCCAAAGACCTGGGTTCGATTCCTGACATGGGTACAATGTGTGAAGCCCATTTGGGGTGTCCCACCGCTGTGATATTGCTGGAATATTGCTAAAAGCGGTGTGAGACCACACTCGCTCACTCACAATTGGGGGCACTGGTGGCTCAGTCTGAGGCACTGCAATTAGCTGTGCAGACTTGTCTCCCTTGGACGAGAAACCTATGGTTCGAATCCCGGTTCACCCCAATGATTTTTCTAGGTTGTCTACCGCCTCCGTGGTCTAGTGGTAGAGCCCCGCCCGAAGAGCGGAAGGTCCGGGGTTCGATCCCTGGCCGCGTCATACCTAAAGATGTTAAAAGATGGTACTTGTTACCCTGTCTGGCGCTCGGCATTAAGGGGCTAAAACAAGGACTGGTCGGCTCGGAGTCCGTAAACTGTGTCTGAGTGGGATATTCATGTTAAACTGCTGCATGGTATCTCAGTGGGCTAGCACTATAAATCAGCATCAGTCCGGTCTAGTACAAGCAGCCACACACGCACATGTGCATGCACGTTGCTATATAAGTGCAATAATCTTGGACGCGACGTTAAACCCAATTTCACCTCACCTCTAGGTTTGTCAGCATCATACGCATGCTTGTGGGGCCAATGAATTTCACATGCAGTACAACATGTAAATATATGATTTTAACTGATTTATTTGTTTTCAGATTAAGCCCTTGTATGAATTATTGCTAGAAATGCCTGACATAATTTGTTTTCTTGCAGGAACAAAGTCAGCTGATCTGGAGTGCTAGAGACCAGCTGTCGAAGAATGTTTCCAATGAGGCCATAAGGCTTCTCCTGGAGTTAAACAACCAGAAAATACCCTCTGGCGAGAGCAAGGTGCAATAACCATTTGACAAGGGCAATAAACTTTGGCGTGATACAATATGTACTAATATATGGATGTTGATGGATTTAGACTATTGCCGCGACACACAGACTAAGGCTTAATATAAGTGACGATCAGGAGCCTCTAAGTCAATATTAAAGTAATCCCTAAAATGTACATTTGAATCATGACATGCTCCTGGCATGGATAATGACTTCAGCAATGACTAGTGATTATTGCACTCCATGCCTTGTAGAAAACATGGTTGATTCTATTCCTGTTGTCTTCAGCTGATGGATGCTGTGGCTGATGTGATGACATTTGGGTCTTTGGAGCCCTGTACAGAGTGCTCAGGAGGGCAGCTGGTGTACACGTGAGTAAAACTTACATTGTAGTGTACATATGTACGTGTTGCCTACATGACAGTAAACATCTTAGATGTGCTTCATTGTAGTGTACACATGAGTAGAGCTTACATGATATTAAACATCTGAGAACTTAGATTGTTTGTTTGTTGTTTAACACCGCACTCAGCAATATTCGAGCTATATGACGGCTGTCTATGAATAATAGCGTCTGAACCTGACAATCCAGTGATTGACATCATGAGCATCGATTTACGCGATTTGGATATGATACATGTTTGAACCAAGTCAGCAAGTCTGACCACCTTATCACGTAAGTCACCTCTTACGACAAGCAAAGTCACCTTTTACGGCAAGCATGGGTTGCTGAAAGCCTATTCTAAGCCTGATCATCACAGGTCGCTTAGATTGCACGTAAAGTTGCTTACATCCTGTTGTACATCCAAGTAGAACTCAAACAGGGTGGTGTACATGTGAGTGTTGCTTACATTGTGTTGCACGCGTAAGTGTTGCTACATCGTGTTGTACACGTAAGTGGTGCTTACATTGTGTTGTACACTTAAGTGTTGCTTACATTGGATTGTCTGGTCAAGACTCAATTATTTTACAGACCGCTGTCATATAGCTGGAATATTGCTGAGTGCGGCGTTAAACAACAAACAAACAAACAAACAAATACATTGTGTTGCACACATAAGTGTTGCTTACATTGTGTTGCACAAGTAAGTGTTGCTTACATTGTGTTGTACACGTAAGTGTTGCTTACATCATGTTGCACACGTAAGTGTTGCTTACATTGTGTTGTACACGTAAGTGTTGCTTACATTGGATTGTCTGGTCAAGACTCAATTATTTTACAGACCGCTGTCATATAGCTGGAATATTGCTGAGTGCGGTGTTAAACAACAAACAAACAAACAAACAAATACATTGTGTTGCACACAAAAGTGTTGCTTACATTGTGTTGCACAAGTAAGTGTTGCTTACATTGTGTTGTACACGTAAGTGTTGCTTACATCATGTTGCACACGTAAGTGTTGCTTACATTGTGTTGCACCTGTAAGTGTTGCTTACATCGTGTTGCACACGTAAGTGTTGCTTACATCGTGTTGCACACGTAAGTGTTGCACACGTAAGTGTTGCTTACATCGTGTTGCACACGTAAGTGTTGCTTACATCGTGTTGCACACTTAAGTGTTGCTTACATCGTGTTGCACACTTAAGTGTTGCCTACATCGTGTTGCACACGTAAGTGTTGCCTACATCGTGTTGTACACGTAAGTGCTGCTTACATCCTGGTGTACATCCAAGTAGAAACAGTGTGGTGTACATGAGAGTGTTGTTTTCATTAGAGGTGTACACTTACGTGATGTTTACATTGTGGTGAACACCAATGTGTTGATTACATCCTGACAAGTTGCATGTAAGCATGATAAGTGATCATGTCTGCCCTGGTAGTTCCTGCAGAGGAGTTTTCAAGTTTAACTGTCAAGTGAACTTGTAAGTGTACACCACCAACATGGCTTACTGTTAGGGAAGTATTGTAAAGCGTATTTATCAGATTTGCTCTCCTTGCCAAAATAAGTTCTGATTGGGAACAGAATTAAATTGCCGCCAGGTCTTGAGGAGTTTTTGCAAGGAGTAAAATATTCCATGTTAAACTGTTACAGGAGTGAAGGCTACAAGTGCACAGGGAACATGACAGAGTGGACAAAGTGTATGAATATTACAAAGACGCCAACAAGGAAGCCATTCAAAGTGCCCAAGGAATTTCATGATGTTGACTTTTTGTAAGATAATAATTCTATATACCATATTATTTAAAGCTTAAGAAAGCTGCTTTGTGATTGTCTAATGTGGTCTTCCTGTCAGTCAATTCGTTATTATTAAGTTAATGATAACATCAATGTTCATATCAAAATATTATCCCATGTATCTTTTCTTGTATCCCGCAGTAATTTTTTTTTTAAATGATGACATTGCATATTGAATCACTATTTTCATCCTCCGTGTATCATGTTAACATGGTTAATGCAGTGATGGCAACATTTCAAAAACTGCTAACTCTTAATAAAAAATTTTTTAAATTTTGTCAGGAACGAAAAGAACAACGAAAGAACATATCACCATACCTTCTCTGCTGACTTGTTGACATTGTATTCTTCAATTATCTATTTAGAAAGAAGTACAAGTATGTGAAGCGTGTCCGCGTGTTCCCAACTGTGACTGTCAGTTCAACTGAGGGGCCGGTCAGTTCGTCAATGGACGCTGTAGATGGAAGGTAAGTAGTTAAAGTATGTCCTGTGATTGTCCTATGATTGTCCTGTGATTGTATCATAACAGGGTATGAAACTCCCAAACATTTCAGCCAGACCACAGGACTGGCTAGCTGAAATACTTGCCAGCCCTGACCAAAACCTGCCTGCCCACTATAACCATATGTTTCTCAGGATAATTTAACTAAAAATATGAAAACTGATTGCTTGTAGCATAAGCGCATCGCTAAATGGTAGGTTGTCTAAAAGCTAACAGGGTTTCTTTTTGGTTACATTTATCATTTCATCATGTGAATTAATGCTTATCATCGGGAAATATTTAGAATATTTTCACCTATGAAATATAACCCGACCGTCGGGCAGGGGGATTTGAAATTCTGGCAGCCCGAGTTGAAATCAACCCGTCTCGGACGGTCGGGCAGGCAGGTATTTCGAATGCTGATCAAACCTTTGTTTAGGGTCCAGTAACCAACTTCATACATCATTTTCGTTCTCACAAGATGGAATATTTTAAAACAGTTGTTTTGTCATTTAATGTGACTTGGTTAAGCATGTCAACATTGTTTGGTTTATCTGGATTTGAACTGCACTTAATATTGTTTTTCACAGCACATAATCACTCCTTGAAGAGTCAAACAAGAGAATAAGGAAATTTAAATGAATTGAGATTGTTTATTGTCACTAGTCAACCCATGGAGGCTTGAATTGGTCTTAAGCAACCCATGCTTGTCGTAAGAGGAGACCAACAGGATCTGGTGTCCAGGTTGTCTGACAGGGTTGATGCATGTCATTGTATCCCAGTTGCATAGATAGATGCTGATGATATCAACCACTGGATTGTCTGGTCCAGACTGAAGAGTATTTACAGACCGCCCTGATATAGCTGGAATTTTACTTAGTGTGGCATTAAACAACCAACAAACAAACAATCTTGTTAGTAGCTTTAAATGTTCTAATGGTTTGATGTCAATGTGCAAAATGTATTCATGTAATCTGAAAAAAACAAACAACATCCTATGGGTGACAAACTTTGGAAGCAGCAGGATTCTGGATATGCTGTTTACATCATTTATCATCACGTCTGCAGCAGCGCAAGCAGCAGTGGCCTCACCCAGTCCTTGGAGAACATGAGGTTTGTCATCGCTGGAAAGACAAGCAAATCCAAAGCAGCCCTCAGCAAAGAAATCTCTAGTATGGGAGGAACTGTTGTCTCCAAAGTGGACAAAACTGTGGCAGCGGTCATCAGTACAAAGGGTGAGGGAAAGCACATACAATCTCATTTTGAAGTTTGCTATGATTTCGGATGCCTATTCCGGATTAGAATTGGTCCACAGCAAACTATGTTGACCATAAGAGCCAGTTATTGGATTGGGTGGTCTTGCTCGTTGATTTGTAGGGATGTCACTGTACAAATATGTCCCAGATTATAATATGAATCAATGCAGGTAAATATGTATCGCATATCGTATCGTCTTACAATATTATTGATATATCCGTGGATTGTGACATCCCCAGTGGTTTGGTTGATGGTCCCATCATACCCAGACAGCATTGATCGTTGTTCACAATGTCAATCACAAGGATTTTCTGGTTTGGTCTGGTCTGGACTAGAATATTTGCAGACATCACATCGCTGGAATATTGCTGAGTGCATTGTTAAACAACACACACACACACACACACAGCATACCCGTGATTGCGAGTTTCATGGCCAGGGATAATTTTAGGGTGGGTACTTGTGCTTTTAGCCCCTAAATATGAAAAAAGACCACATTTTCAAATACAATGGGGCATTTTAACATTGTGTACATGGGCGTACCTGTGGAATGTTTGACATTTTCACATGAAGGGCCCATGTCAGAAAATTCCTGGAGTGAGCCCTGCATGACTCATGGAAAATATCTTCTTGTGGCCTATTGCACTAATATTCCACATTTCACTATGCGATTTGTGCCTTCCGCTGTCATGATGTGTGTGTTGGTGCTATAACAAAGCTTCTAGGCTTTGTGAGTTATGGTAACTGGCTCAGACCTGCATCAGTTTTGAGCTTTCCTCTCTTGGATATATCTGAAATATCATGCCTTAAACCCAGCTTACACACTCAGAGCTCCAGATAAGCTTTTGGTGTTGTGGGTATTTTACCCATGCATTTTAAAATCATTGGGTATCAGTAATTCTGTTACCCACTAGTTTTTACACATGTGGGTATTTAAGTTAAATATTTAAAAACACTATTCATCTAGTCCCTGCAAACTGGTGTCGTGTGCGTTCGAGAGCTTTATAGGACTCAAAAATACCACGATACTTCAACAAGAAAGTGTGATGGCAAATGATCATGATGTAACTGTCATCGTGGAGTTTGGCAAGGTTGACGGAATGCCCGTTTATAATTTCAAAATAAGTTGCTGATTTGCTAATCGAATACGCAGGGTTACTTCACAGTATTTTGATGATATGCACAAGTTTTATTTTTGTAGTGTATCTGTAATGTTCGTTGCGTATTTGATACGCTTGGATTTGATTTTACTGCGTATTTCTGCATTTCTGATGCGTATTTTACGCAGATATGCAGCTTATCTGGAGCTCTGGACACTCCCAGTTTTGAATACCAGCTAAATGTTGTTTTAGATATTGTCCAAGGACATGATTAAAATTGTTTGGCATCAGAATTGGATAAAGGCATTAAATTATGTTATAATTTTTATTTCTGGCTAAGTATTTATCATATTTTGTTACCTGTTGCAGATGAAGTTACTAAGAAGAGTAAAAACATCAAAGATGCTGAAAAATCTGATGTGCACGTGATTGCCGAGAGCTTCCTGGAAGATGTCAAGAAGGGTGGAGCTGCTCTCATGATCCAGAAACACAGTATTGCCACCTGGGGAGCTGATGTGAGTGTGCAGTAGCATTTTCCAGTGGCCACTGATATTCTTGTCTGACAAGTCATCTCAAGTGTCCTGTCTGCCAGTCAAGTAATATGCTGTCAGCGGCAAACACAGCCTTGACATTGATGACATTTAAACATGTGGCATATCTTCCTATTTAATGTAAAATGAAAATTAACAATTTTACAAGTCACCTTTATCACTGACAAGCAGAGTTTGCTGACGAATAGTCCTATGTTTAAGCTGCTGGTCAATCTGAAAGCTGCTTGTTTGAGTGACTTCCTATATGCTTGCCGTAACAGGTGACTATGCTTGTCCTAAAAGGCGGCTGACAGGATCAGGTGGTCAGGCTTGCTGACTAGGTTGATGCGTGTCATATCAATGCTCATGATATCAATCACTGTATTGTCTTGTCCAGACTCGATTATTTACAGACCGCCGTCATATAGCTGGAATATTGCTGAGTGCGGCATTAAACAACAACAAGCAACAACAGTTTTGTTTTTACCAAATAAGTGGTACTAGAAATGATACCCGACATGCATGGTCAGGGTCATAATTTGTTTTGGCATTATGAGGACAAGTCTCAGATGATGCTCTATTCCGTGTTTCAGCCAGTTGATAGAATCGTGGAGCCGCAGAAGCAGGTGAAGAAGAGTGCGGCCAAGAGTGGCATGAGTGCCAGGGATGGTGAGAGTGATGCACAGAAAATTATTAGCTATTCCTAACATGTTTGTTTGTGATTTGACGTACAGTAAGGTATGAGTTGAGAGTTTTGTCAGGTATTTTTTTATTCTGTGTCCGGACAGGCTTCCGTGTTATAGCTTTTGTATTGCTGACTGGGTCAAATGACTAATGAATTTTGGAATTTTCATATTGGGGCTTGAAAGGTCTAATTTTAATGAGATTGCATGAAATAAGAAAATAGGGAGTTATCATTCTTATTGAATATCAACAAACAAAATCCTTCGATTGCACTTGGGCATCAACCGAAAAAAACAGAAGTACTCAATATGATGGTTCCGTGCTGTAAATCCTTCTTATTGATAGAGTGAATACCGTATACGACAATCCATGCTTGTCATAGAAGCTGATCAGAATGAGGATTGAGTGGACCACGTGGATCTTTTTACATTCCATCAAACACCGTTTTTTCTTGGAGATATCGCCTGGGTGAATTGCATCACAATGTGCAGACCATTGTGATGTCATCGGTTTCCATAAGTAACTTACCTTTTTGCCATTGAGTCTGGTTAGCTGTATGTTTTACACTCAAAGACATTGATTAATACTGTTTTCAAAATAGAAAGGGCGGAGGGATAGCTTGGTGGTTAAAGTGTTTGCCTGTCACGCCGAAGAACCGGGTTCAATTCTCCATATGGATACAATGTGTATAACCAATTTCTGGTGACCCCACCGGGATATTGCTGGAATATTGATAAAAACATCCTAAAACCATACTCACTCTCTCAAGATGAAAAATTTGGAAGAATGATTTTGATGATAAATAGAATCTGACAAACCTTTGAGTTTTATGCTTTTATCAACTTGTGTTGGTATTATTTGACATCAAAAGATGCCCAGATGAGATTTGTGATACAACCAGCATCTATGTCAAAATGGAAGAAGATACGCTGTGCACATCAAGGTCTGTGTAACAGTCTCTTAGTCTTCCTAGATAAAAACCCTCTCTGATGACTGTGATTTTGCAGGCGCTATCACAGACAGATACGGAGTGGACATACACACCTCCAATCTAACACTGGTCCGCCAATGTGGGTGGTGGGCTTGCCTAGGGATTAAAGCATAACAAAACAGGAATATGTTGTGTTCAACAAGACAGGAATGTGTTGTGTTCTACCAAGACAGGAATGTGTAGTGTTGCATGTTCTGGTTGTATTTTCAGAGGCGATGTACACCAAGAGCGTTCCGGCCAAGTTGAAGATGAAGGTGAAAGGGGGTGCTGCAGTGGATCCTGACTCAGGTGAGACATTGTCCTCACATTGTGGGGGGATCCGTGAAGATCCGGGGTAGAATAGGTCTTCAGCAACCCATGTTTGCCGTAAATGGCGACTATGCTTGTCGTAAGCGACGACTAACGGGATCAGGTTGGTGAGGCTCGCTGACTTGGTTGATACATGTCATTGTATCTCAATTGCGTAGATCGATGCTCATGATGTCAATAATTGGACTGTCTGCTCCAGTTCGATTATTTACAGATTGCTGTCATATAGCTGGAATATTGCTGAGTGCTGCGTTAAACAACAAACAAACACCACATTGTGGGGAACAGGAGTCTCCTGGCTTTAAGAAGCTCTAATGTTGATTATGACAAGATTGACTTATGGTATTGACTTCATCTTAGCGAGATAAGGGTACTGTAGCTACTGAAACGTCACAGTTAAAGAATAAAGAAATATATTGTCATAAATAAATACTCATGGAGATATATAATTGGCACTTTTATGATGAACCTGATAGGAATGTAGTGACTGTCATCTATTTTGATATAGTGTAACTGTTTGAATGTGTATATGACGGACGCCTTTGTCATGTCCAGGGCTGGAGGACACTGCCCATGTGATTGATGAGAAGGGAGATGTGTTCAGCGCTGTCCTGGGATTGGTGGATATTGTCAGGGGAACTAACTCTTTCTACAAGATCCAGGCTCTTGAAGGAGACAAGGGTTCACGGTAATCACATGCCACTGTCTGTGAGACATGAGTAACAGGTTCAGTGGTTTCACTCTCTGACGTGGTTGGTGCATGTCATCGTTTCCAAATTGCGTAGATCGATGCTTGGCGGGTCAATCAATGGATTGTCTGGTCTGGACCAATCTCATTAAAATCAGATCTTAGTTCTTGCTACTGCTGAACAAAGATCTGAGGACATCCCATTACGGGTCACATCAGACCGACCTTGCGCGAACTTTGACCGACCAATTGAATGACCAATCAGAAGGCAGCTTTCGTCCTTTACGGCACTAATTTCAAATTGGCGACTTCGCTTCGAAACATATTTTGACAAATTCCGATTAAAAATTTGAAACCTGAACAAAAAACATTCTGGAATGGCTAATAGATGGTCTAGATTGTAAGGAATCAGTCGTTTAACCCGTAACTATCGTTCGGAATACCCCATGTTAAAGTTTTCGAGGTTGTATGATTAGAAATCACATTCCGACTGTCACTTTCATAATCTGGTAAGCGACGCACTGATTGGTCGGATGAAAGGTAGGTCTGACGTGACCCCTAATGGGATGTCTTCAGATCTTTGTTTAGCGGTAGCGAGAACTAAGGTCTGATTTTAATGAGATTGGGTCCGGACTTGATTATTTACAGACCGCCCTCATGAATATTGCTGAGTGTAGAGTTAACCAACCAACAAACAAGAAACCAAGTCTCTGTTGGGGGTCAACATTTGAGAGCTCTTCATGCTGATGACCCCAATGGAGATGATTCCTGGGCAGATCCCAGTACTGATGGTGTAAAGATACAGCAATACAGAATGTTATCCCGATGCAATACACCTGGAATATTGTTTACAGGTTGGACAGGTTTCAAATATTATTGTAAAATTTACCCACATCCAAAATGTGTGACATTCTGGCTCGGCAGAATTGCATGCAAAGTATTTAGAAAAAAACCTACTGTGCGTGATGGTAAGTATATTCTCTGAATGTTTCAGATGGTGGATATTCCGAGCATGGGGTCGGGTTGGAACAACAATCGGAGGGAACAAGCTGGAGAAATGTGGGTCAAGAAATAAAGCTATTGAGAGTTTCAAAGCTTTGTATGGAGAGAAGACAAATAATAACTTTGATGACCGCAAGAATTTCCAGAAATTCCCCAACAAATTCTATCCTTTGGATATTGATTATGGCCAGGTAAGCAGTAGAACTGATTATCATTGAGGTCATATTCTGATTATTTTTCTGAAAGTTTGCTGTACTTGAGAGTGTCATGATGAATTTCAGAAAGATTTTCTGATTTTTTTTCTGAAAGTTTGCTGTACTTGAGAGTGTCATGATGAATTTCAGAAAGATTTTCTGATTTTTTTTCTGAAAGTTTGCTGTACTTGAGAGTGTCGTGATGAATTTCAGAAAGATATTCTGATTTTTTTTCTGAAAGTTTGCTGTACTTGAGAGTGTCATGATGAATTTCAGAAAGATTTTCTGATTTTTTTTCTGAAAGTTTGCTGTACTTGAGAGTGTCATGATGAATTTCAGGAAGATTTTCTGATTTTTTTTCTGAAAGTTTGCTGTACTTGAGAGTGTCATGATGAATTTCAGAAAGATTTTTGATTTGATAGAAATTAAGAAATTTGGATTGGCTCAGCAAACGGAAAAAGACAGGTTCTGTTTCAATTTGTGATCAATTTCTTATTATCTCCCTCTCTGTACTGCAGTACTTTTAAAAACAACCTACGACCAACACGCTCATTATGTTTAAGATTGAAACTTTATTTCTGAAGTGTTCGAAATTAAGATTTGGTTCATGCATGACATCGTATCCCAATAGCATTGATCGATGCTCATGATGTCAGTCACTGGATTGCCTGGTCCAGATTCGATTACTTGCAGACCGCATATGGCGTTAAACGACAAACAAACAAAACATTTTATTCTGTATGGATTTATCAAGGATGAAGATGCTGTGAAGTCCATAGACAGAAGTTCATCCAAGTCCAAATTGCCCAAAGAGGTTCAGGATCTCATCTGCCTCATCTTCGATGTGGAGAGCATGAAGAAGGCCATGATGGAATTTGAGGTAAGTCTGCACCACGTCCTCTCATTGCTCGACCCGTGAAGATCTGGGGTAGAATAGGTCTTCAGCAACCCATGCTTGTCGTAAGAGGTGACTACGGGATCGGGTGGTCATGCTCGCTGACTTGGTTGACGCATGGATTGTCTGGTCCAGGCTCGATTATTTACAAAACGCTGTCATATAGCTGGAATATTGCTTAGTGCAGCGTTAAAGAACAAACCAAGCAACCAAACTAACAATGCTCATATTTTCAACTGGTTTATAAATACATAAGTAAATCCCCTGTGTCGTACCAAAAGATTGTAAAAGACGCTCAGCCTGGAGTGGATAAAACAAGGACTGGTTGGTTCAGAGTCAGTATGATGTATCTGAGTGGGGTATCCATGTTAAACTGCTGAATGGTTTATCAGCAGGCTAGCACTGAAAAACAGTCTGGACTAGTAGTGCAAGCAGCCCCACACCCACACATTGCTGTATGAGTGCAGGAATCTTGAAATAGGTATAATTCTAATGAGCCTGGTTGTCTATATAGCCTTCACACTACAGTAAGTTATATATTCTTATGTTTCTTTTCAGATTGATTTGAAGAAAATGCCACTTGGAAAATTATCCAAAAGACAGATTGAATCTGCTTACAAAGTGCTTTCAGAATTACAAAAGGTAGGAGGTGTTTTCAGGAAGTTTTCAATGCCCTCAGTCCTGACAGTTCCCATGTAGATAGATGGTCCTGATTTACAAATGATGGGTTTGGGCAAGGTTCTTTAGTGTATGTGAACATCCCCCACAGTGATTGTTGCCGAGGCAGACTCAGTGTCCAGAGTATCTGGGCTACAATGTACATGGAATACCTTCTGTAACTACACTGACAGTCAGGTTTTTACATAACCTTGTAAAAATAGGAGTCATGATGACTCACAACATTATTTTAGGGGAGTCATTTACCAAATTTGGGAGTTATGATTTAAAATATATCAATACCTTTCTCCCTGAGTAGCGGTAGATATTAAAAATATATGGTAAATACTGAGTTTGAATTTAGATACCTTAGCAAATTTATTGCACTGGATAAGCACTGGATGAAAAGTTTGTTGTTGAAACTGCCTGACTTACCATTGATGAGGGGTGTGTTCAGTTGACATGAGTGCCATGACGTCTTATGCAACTTAGATAGTGTATTTGACTGCTCTCTGCTACTGAATGAAGTACCTAGTGTCCCAGACCCGTGAAGATTCCGGGGTAGAATAGGTCTTCAGCAACCCACGCTTGCCGTAAAAGGTGACTATGCTTGTCGTAAAAGGTGACTAACGGGATAGGGTGGTCAGGCTCGCTGACTTGGTTAACCAAGATGCATGTCATCGATCCCAATTGGGTGGATCGATGCTCATGATATTAATCACTGGATTGTCTGGTCAAGACTCGATTATTTACATACCGCCGTCATATAGCTGGAATATTGCTAAGTGCGGCGTTAAACAGCAAACCGGACCAACCTAGTGTCCCATATTGCTCCAATATTTGAAACATTCTTTGCCCCGAACATATTTGTAAGCTCTCAGGCTGGGTGATGCTGAACAGTGGGCAGGACCAAACAATGCCATCTTTACACTGATTCAGTACTGATGGTGTTCTTCAGTTGACAGAGAAGAGTGGAACACCAACCCAGTTCCTGGATGCTTCCAACAGATTCTACACGCTCATCCCACACGACTTCGGCATGAAGAAACCGCCGCTTCTTGACACTGCGGACATCATCAAGGTATGTGCATTATTGTATACAGTAACTGTATCGCCATACTGGAATTTAGGCATGCGTGTCGTAAACATAGTATGACATGAACACGAATATGATGTTCTATTAATGAAGATGTCTACATAAAGAGATGAATTTAAGTGTTTACCTAATAAGGACAGCAAGTCCCAGCAGCAGCGGAACCACAATTTGTCGAATGACGTCGACATTCTTCAGCTATGACAGTGTTTCTAGTATTACATCATTTCGACCTCTCGTCACAGTAAGATTCGAATGACGTCAACTGTGCCGTCTGGATGACAGTTACAATACACTGTTATCTTGTGACGTGATATGACCCTAGGGCACATATTATTTTTATGAACCCCGATATGTTTGCCCTCGTAGGTAATAAACTCATATACTACTACTTTCACACACACATTATGTTCATGAGTTTGATATGTTGCTCGTTGTATTAACCTTAATTTTCAGCCTGATTTTTTGCAGAAACATGCACCCTTATGAATAATGATTGTTGACAATGACGTTATTGACAATATTATTTAACTAATCCTGCATTACTACGCCTACATGGGTGCATTAAGTAGTAATGCAGGATAAGTATACAAATATAAAAATATCTGGGATTTTACTAGGATTTCACTAAAATACTGTTGCCCCTCATTCAGGTTGTGGCTCTGACTTCATATAACGCAAATGGTATCAGTCCGAGACAGATATATAATGGGAAGCCCTTGATAGGAGACCGTCACTTATCCTAGTGGGGTAGCCGAATGCAGACCTGTCAACCCCTCATCATGACAATGTGGGAGATTTGACTTCAAAATGAGGGAGATTTGACTCCAAAGGGGGAGATTTTTAAGATAGTGAAGATAAGATAATTTCCAACTTTTATTTTTAATAATGTTACAAAGAAAACCAAATATTTTGAAACAATAAATAATCAATAAGTTTCTTATACGTACAGCTTCCTTAATTTCCGTTTGCATTTTCCTCCTCCAAAAATAAACCCAGCACAATCTACCCATATAACTTTCGTTCAAAGATCATCTCAGATAAACGCAAACAGATATTGAAATTTCACAATCGGTAGCTTGACCAGTTGACGACGTGTTCAATCAGACCAGTTGTCAGGCTTCGTTACGATGCAGGTTTTCTGAGTATTTGGCGCGATTTTGGTTACAAAATTCGCCAAAGAAATATCAAATGCATTTATCCTGACGCAACATCATCGCCCTTAATTTCAATAAGATACACTGGGTTTTTTTCTGTCTGCGGCAGTCTGTTGACAGTCCCATTACTTAGCTCCTTAAATTTCCTAGAAATGTTCACGTTATTCCATTCCAAGAAATGTATGCCATATTTGGAAGTACTATTACGTTTTACTACAATTTATGAATGAAATGAGTCTCGTTGTCGTTGTTGACCTTTCTGACCTTGATGTGTATTAATCTCATTGGTTGACTAGTACTGTTGTATGCAAATTAGATTGCAGATCTGGGACGCAAGCAAACTATTAGCCAATCAAATCGTGTAAAATAATCACGACACATTCTCGCGAAATTTGATAAAGTTCTGTTTTGATATTTTCTGTGCACACAAGTCATGATGTCAGTCAAAAGGAAATTTATAAGTTTCACTTTAAACTTTGACTTTGAAATCCTATCTGTGAGGAAGCCTGATCGTGTAACTCATTGTTATTTCGACTACCGAATCAACCAATCACGCATAGTGTTGTTTCTGAAGACGGCGCTTGCAGGACATATTTTGTTTTCATTTCCAAGAGTTCAATGACGTAACTTTGAGGTATGTTGATGTTTTAACAAAGTTTCTGACAAATCTGATAACCAATAAAGTTATGTATAACTGGACTGGCCATATGTATCTACGTTCTTAAATTATGGAAGAATAAACACGCTAAGAACATGAAGACAACAGTTCATTTCATGAAGTGATGAATACTTGGCTGATTTTTCATTACAAGTTCAACCCTTCAGGCACCTGTTAGGACTATCCGAGTTTTCTTAACAGTTTACATTGTTCAATCGTTCACCATATGAATTTAATTACCAGTTGATTACTGGACAAAGGCCCATCTGGGTCCCCCTGCGGGAGGCTGTGATAAGGGTCGCTAATCCGGGAGCCTACCGGACAGATCGGGACGCAAACTTCCTGTTCATTGTTTTTACTCACGGGACAATGGAGGCGAATTTTTTAAATAATGAAAAATTCTGTTTTGCGGGAGAAATAGTCCATCTTGCAGGAGACTGGGAGATTTCATCAAATTGCGGGAGTCTCCCGCAAAATGCGGGAGGGTTGACAGGTCTGCGAATGGTCTTGGTGTTCAATCATCACACTGAAAGCCCTAGGCTCGATTCCCACCTGGATATGTGTGAGTGTCATTTCTGGTGTCCTCTGCCATGATAATAATGGAATATTGCTTAAGTTGGTGTAAAAACGTGCTCACTCATTTAACTGTCATGTGGTATAACTCAACAGGCACTGGTCACCACCAGTTACACAGGTAGAAGGACAATACTGCTTATGGGAGGAACCATTCCCCCCCCTTGTGAATCCAGTGTTGTTGCATTTTTATCTACGTACCCAACATAACCATTAGTGTTTGTTGTGTAGACGAAGACGGAGATGTTGGACAACTTGCTGGAGATAGAGGTGGCCTACAGTATGCTGAAGGGAGGGGACGAGGGTGAAGACCCCATCGATGCCCACTACAAGAAGCTCAAATGTGAAATGAAGGTACGATTCTTTATCTACGGTTACAAATGTTCACCTTGTAGCAGTTCTGGGTTTGAACTGGTCCCAGCAACCTATGCTGGTTGTAAGGGGTAACCGAATGGGGATTGTTGTCAGACTCAGTGACTTGGATGATCGTGTTATCATACGACATGGATGTCAATCACTGGTTGTCTGGACTTTACAGGGGCGGCCGGGTAGCCTAGTGGTTAAAGCGTTCGCTCGTCACGCCGAAGACCCGGGTTCGATTCCCGACATGGGTAGAATGTGTGAAGCCCATTTCTGGTGTCCCCTGCCGTGATATTGCTGGAATATTGCTAAAAGCGGCGTAAAACCATACTCACTCACTCACTTGACTTTACAGGCTGTTGTAGTTTGGCCTGTTGCCATATTGCTATTTTGTGGTATTGAACAACATAGACCAAACTTCCTATGTAGAGATGTTGCTGACAGTTTGATCTTTGGATCATCCAGAACAGTGCTGTGTTGTGACCATACATTGTAATGAAGATGACGCCATGCAGACCATCATTAACAAAGTTAGGATTATGTTGTTTTTTTGTGTGTATATATGGAAGGTTACATGTTGCAGTGCATCGGTGTCCATTGTTTCGCTTCACCCTGTTCATTCTGTTTACGTATGGGAGTTCAACAATCTTGATGCTTAGAGCAGTTGGAGGTGGCATAGTGGTTGCAGTGTTTGCCTATTTTGTTGAAGGTCCTTTTTTCTTTCCTTGGCAGAAAGAACTGTTCAATCACATTAGTGCTAGAATCAATTAGTGGTGATCTTAGTGCTAAGATGATCGTATCTCCCATACTATCACATAGGCATAAGATAGTCGTAACGCTACGATCGCTTTGTGGAACGAAACCCAGGCCTGTTTCATAAAGTTATCTTTGCTCTTATCATAATACCTCACATTGATGTAGGCTTACGATAATCGCAGTGCTTAGTAGAACAGGTCCCTTGACATAAAATGTTTGTGTCTGTTGTTTACAGCCCATGGATAAGAGTGATGACTTGTACAAGAAGCTGGTGGATTATACAGCCAACACCCATGCTGCCACACACAACCAGTATGACTTGGAGGTCCAAGATGTAAGTAGTGGAGGAGGACCATTGATACTGCTCCATGTGGGGTTTCAGGGTTGCTACCTACGCTGGTTGTTACAGGTGACGAAATGGATTTGGTGGTCTAGCTTAGTGACCGGGTTGAAATCTTCATGAGGCAAGGGAGATAACTGACTATAGAAGTCCTGTTTCCACCCTTGCTGGAATTATGGAGTTATGTTTTGGCTGGAGTAACGAGTCTATACATAGTCCAATCAAAATCCTTTAATGAAATTGACATCCTGTTTGTAAACTGCCGTGCAGACTTCAGTCGATTGCAGGATTTGCAAAGCATGAGTACCGCCATTTTAGTGTGAACATATTAGTCCAAATCTTTTCATGATTTTAATCTAGGTGCTCATGTGATTTGATGCGATTTGCTAAGTAAAACCGGTTTTGTTACAATAAAGATATTGATTATCGATACGATCGTCGTCACTGGGTGTCGTCCTTTTGTTTGAAGCAAATGCAAGTGATATTAGAGGTGGAATCTGATTAGTCAATAGAGGGGACATAGAAGGGACATAACAGGTAACTAGTTGCGCTACGATCAACCCCAGAAATTCCAGCCTAGTTCAGCAATGGGGGAAACTGGACTTCTACACTCAGTTACCTCCCTTGCCTCAGGTAGACACTGGGTTGATTGCATACCACTGTTGCGTGACAGTGTGGATGGTGATCATAAGATCAGTCTCTGGATAGTGCTGAGTATGATGTTACATACCAAAGATATAATTACTGAACTATACCTATGTGTAAAGTCATTGATGAGAGGATTATGGAACACGCTACAGTTTGGTACAGTTCTTGTAACCGATAATTGAATAAACATCCGCACCCTGAGAAGTCTGTCAATATTCTGGTCAAGGACAACACCAAAATTGAAAAAAACAACCTGCTAATAAAATATTGTGTATCTGGAAATGTTATTAAGTGCTTATTTTTTTTAGATATTTGAAGTTGATCGTGAAGGAGAGTACAACCGCTACCGCCCGTTCGAGGACCTGCACAACAAACAGCTGCTCTGGCATGGTTCCAGGGTTACCAACTTCGCTGGTATACTCTCACAGGGTCTCAGAATAGCACCGCCGGAGGCTCCAGTGGTCAGTATAGTGTTCAGTATAGTGTTCAGTGTAGTGTTCATCGCCTTTTTACCCAGTGGGGATTCCAAGTCTCCAGTAATCCCAGCGGGGCGGTCGGGTAGCCTAGTGGTTAAAGCCTTTGCTCGTCACGCCGAAGACCCGGGTTCGATTCTCGACATGGGTACAATGTGTGAAGCCCATTTCTGGTGTCCCCCGCCGTGATATTGCTGGAATATTGCTAAAAGCGGCGTAAAACCATTCTCACTCACTCACTCAGTAATCCCAGCTGTATTTGGGAGCTGACTTGCAAGTAGTTTGGATAGATTATGTGAGTTAGGGTCCCATGCTGGTATGAACTAGATCCATTATTAACTGATGTGATATGGAATATTGTGGTTTGCAGTATCGCACATTTATTGATGGGAAGAATTGTTAAATTGCTGCTTAGAACAAAACATTAATGGCAGACATAATTCATTCAAAAACTAATCAAAAAAATAAAATCGAACAAGTTAGAAAATAACATTTGTAGGATTATATGTATCTGGGGTTTGGGAGTAAATACTCATCTTACCTTACGTAATTCTTTCTCATTATTACCATGAATGTTCTTTTCAGAATGTGCCAATTCCTCCGTATGTAATATGGTAATCGAGTCTTATCACTATTTCTCTGTTTTCAGACTGGCTACATGTTTGGGAAGGGCATCTACTTCGCTGATATGGTGTCCAAGTCGGCCAACTATTGTCGTACATCAAAGAACGATCCCACGGGTATCCTGCTGCTGTGTGAGGTTGCCCTTGGCAACATGTGAGTAGCAACAAGTCCATGGAGCAGTGTTTGTGCACAAACTACACATGCCTGAAACTAACTTGACTGCCTATACTATTTGTTGTCACTATAGGAATGGATGCTGTTGTCCGCCCGTGGAGCGTTGCATTGCTTAGCAGGATTAGCTGGTCATGGGTTTCATCTCAAAATTCTCTGATACTGTCCTGGTCTGTTAACACCATAACAGTGCGTACAGGTTTCACCCGGGTGGTACACTTTTATAGTGTTCCTGTTAACCAGAAATTACCAGTATTTTACCAGTAAATTTTGGCTTGGACCAGTAATACATGTGACTGCCGGTCCCTGTGGTCCAGCAAAAAAAGTACCGTATAAATCTTTGTTATGGAACAAACTGTCGGCGATATTCATATAAGTAAATGTTTCAAACAAAGTGAGCTTGTCTGTTACCATCAGGGTTTCCCCTTGTCTATTTTTAGTGCAAGGAAATAACATTTTACTTTGCTTTGAGGTTAAATATGTATAATTGTAGTGACTTCGTCTAGAAATATTAAAAAAAGAGAAAACTGTGATTGATATTTGTGTGAGATCTAACTAAGTTACTTCAGAGATGATATCATTGCATTGAACATGATGTTGAATCAACTGGAATCGGGTAATTTTAAAAATAAGGGTGGACTGGTAACTTTTAGAGTTGCCAGTCACAAGGACTGGCCGTTTCAAAAGCCATTGGGAACATTGCTTTTACAACCTGCATGACACATTTCCAATCTCATTAAAATCAGATCTTACTTCTCGATACTGGTAAACAAAGATTTGAGGACATCCCATTACGGGTCACATCAGAACAACCATTTGGCTGACCAATCAAAACGTCACTTACCAGATAGATAAAGCAGTGTTGTCATTTACCGGTAATTACCAGTTTTTAACCGATAAAGTTTGGCTTTCAACAGTAATTCATGTGACTGCCAGTCCCTGTGGACCGTCAAATAATGTACCTGATAAATCTTTATTATTGAACTAAGCTTTGGCAATATTCATATAGTTATATTTTTCAAACAATGTTTTTGGTGTAAGGATAAAACAATTCACTTTGATTTGAGATTAATATATATCGTAGAGACTTAGTCTTGAAATATTCAAAAAGAAAATTATCACTGAACTTTGTGAGAATGATGTGTAGATCTAACAAAGTTACTGTAGAAATGACGCCATTGAAAGTTGGGACTGATAAAAGTTCGAGTGGACTGGCAATTATTAGAGTTGCCAGTCTGCCAGGACTGTCAGTTTCAAAAGCCAGCAGGAACTCTGATAAACTGACAGTCAGAATGTGTTTTCTTGTCATTCAACCTTGAAAAGGTTTACACTAGGTATTCTGAATGACAGTTACGTGCTGTACAACCTATTCCGTCCATATTATTGTCTATCTCTTGCTTCAATAGGATAAACGTTTGAAACAGAAGACTTTCCATAGCTTGTGGGGAGTACTGCCACACTTCTTGGTTATCTATTAGGCATTTAAGAGTTTTCGTTTGTTCTGTTTTCAAATTTTGAATTGAGAACTTTGTCAAAATAGTTTTCAAAGTGTAGTCTGGAAGGAAATTTGCCAGTTTGAAACTAGTGCCTTAATGTTAGAGAAAGCTGCTTTCTGATTTGGTTATGTCGACTTCTGGTTAGTTAGTTCATTGGCTGGTCAAAGTTCGTGAAAGATCATTCTGACGTGACCTGTAATGGGATGTCCTTAAATGTATGTGTAGCGTTAGCGAGAGAACTCTGCTGTCTGATTTGGTAATGTCGACTTCTTATAAGACTTTTCATTGGTTGGTCAAAGTTCATGAAATGTCGTTCTGACATGACCTTTATTTGGATATCCCCAGATCTACGTGTAGCGGTAACGAGCACTAAGATCTGATTTAAATGAGAATGGACACATTTTATGATACTGTTTATTCTGACATTGAGTTCCTGCGTATTCACTGACTAAAATGGTCTGGACCTGTGAAGATTCCGGGGTAGAATAGGTCTTCAGCAACCCATGCTTGCCGTAAAAGGCGACTATGCTTGTCGTAAAAGGCGACTAACAGGATCGGATGGTCAGGCTCGCTGACTTGGTTGATGCATGTCATCGATCCCAACTGCGTGGATCGATGTTCATGATGTCAATCACTGGATTGTCTGGTCCAGACTCGATTATTTACAGACCGCCGTCATATAGCTGGAATACTGCTGAGTGCGGCGTAAAACAACAAACCAACCAACTAAAATGGTCTGAAACTGAATGAATAATATTGAGGTTATGACAGACAAGCCAAACTTGGCAGGAAGTAGTATGAGTATGTGAAATATTTTCTCTTGCAGGCATGAGCTGACGGGGGCAAGCTACATCGACAAGCTACCCAAGGGCAAACACAGTACCAAAGGTAGGGCAGGGTCATCCATCACTCTAGTCCCAGATTTGTCTAATGTACCTTCACAGTGTCAGCATACCTGTGAAGGTCCGGGGGAGAATAGGTCTTCAGCAACCCATACTTGCTGTAAAAGGCGACTATGCTTGTCATAAGAATCGATTGGGTGGTCAGGCTCACTGACTTGGTTGATACATGTCATCGTATCCCAATTGCGTGGATCGATGCTCATGATGTCAGTCGCTGGATTGTCTGGTCCAGACTCGATTATTTACAGACCACCGTCATATTGCGGGAATATTGCTGAGTGCGGTGTTAAACAACAAACAAACAAACAAAACATTGTCAGCAATTCTCAAGCCTATTATACAGCTAAGATACTATTCCAAGACACTTACTTTTAATCCAGATCTGAAGAAGTGTCATAACAAATTGTATATAGTATACATGTTTGTTATCAGGACAGTGTTGTCAATACAAGGATGTAAGCACTGTCTTGGAGGTTTCACAAGAACAGTTTATTCAAACTGTTTTAAAACGTCAAAGACCAGTGAAGATCCGGGTTTGAATTTGTTGTCAACTATGCTTGTCGTAAGAGGCGACTAACAGGATCGGTGACCTGGTCGACGCATGTCGTTGGATTCCAGATTGATCACTGGTTTGTTTGGTCCAGACGGGATTATTAATTTTACCGACCACCATCCTATAGATGGAATATTGCTGAGTGTTGCATTAAACAACAAATAAACAAATTTAAAGCTTAAAGGCTGCTGTCCCTCAAGGTAATCTGTTTGTGTAAACATTGTTAATGTGTATTGTGATGTTGGATTATGATAACTTATTATTTATTTAGGTATTGGTATGACGGCTCCTGACCCCAAGGGCACCTACACAACTCCCAAGGATGTGGTCATCCCCATGGGCAAGGGCTGCAATGCAGACATCAAGTACTCCAGCCTGCTCTACAATGAGTATCCTTTGCTCGTCTGCAACAATACAATTGTTGAATATGTTCTCTACTTGAGACACGGAGTGTTGGAAAAGCAGTACAGTGATTTCTATGGATATGTAGTTTGTCCCCCAAAAGTAGTGCTTGTCATAAGAAGCAACTAAAAGATAGGGTGGTTGATCTCGTTGACTGTCTTCATCATTCCCCACCCGACATGGATACAATGTGTGAAGCCCATTTCTGGTGTCCCCCGCCTTGATATTGATGGAATATTGCTAAAAGCGGCGTAAAACCATACTCACTCACTCATCATTCCCCAACAGTGATGATAGTTGCTCATAGTTTCAATCACTGGTTTCTCTGCGGCGCTAAGCAACAAAGAAACAAGGTAGTACAGTGAAGCAATGTCAGACCTGGGACGTTAGCCTGCTGGACCTGTTTAATCTATTTGCTATCCATGGAGAAAAAAGGTTTTGATTGGAAAGTGACATCAAATGTCCAAACATTGGTTATTTAAAGAAATTTTATACTTACTTTCTATGATATCATTCGCTCAGCCAAGTTATCTTTCCATGAAATCATAGCTCCGCCCAGTATTAACCTTCATTGGTTTCAGGAGTTTGACTTTGACAGATAATGATAACATTTGACCCCATTTTAAGATCAAAGGTCACTTGACAGTTTCACTATCCCTAAGGGCGGTCCGGTAGCCTAGTGATTCCTGACATGGGGACAATGTGTGAAGCCTATTTCTGGTGTCCCCCGATGTGATATTGCTGGCATATTGCTAAAAGCAACATAAAACCATGCTCACTCACTCTATCCCTCAGTTATGTCTTGAAGCTAGAGATTGCTGGGAGGGATCACAATGTCAGCACCATAGCCGTGAGTTTCACCAAAATGTGTAACTTTAATCTTTCCTCTCACATTTTGCTGACACACCATGATATGACTGAAATATGGTTGAAAGCAGTGTTAAACCTAAATTAACTTGCATAATAACACTTACATTTTGCATGGCTGTATTTATGAACCAAGCATTAGTTTCACTAGGACGAACCAGATAGGATAATGGATACAGGGTAGAATAAAGAAACATTGTAAGACGGCTGTGCTTTCTACATTGTCTCCTTAACCATGCTTCAGATTCATTGTGTATGATGTAGCCCAGGTTAACATCAAGTACCTGCTGAAGATGAAGTTCAACTACAAGTGGTGAGACACCTTGTGACACTCGATGGCTTGCTTGCTTTTGTCTGGCTGGACGGGGGCAGTTGGGACACATTCCACTGGACACCTAGGAGGATTTCCACTGGACACCTAGGAGGATTTCCACTGGACACCTAGGAGGATTTCCACTGGACACCTAGGAAGATTTCCACTGGACACCATTTGTAAACAGTGCATAGACAACCTTGTAGTGCGCGATCTGTGTTCTTTACCTGATTGTGTTCTTGTTTGTTCTCAAAGGAAGACGTGCAGAGCTGTCTGATAGTATTCCATTCGCAGTCGTGATTATGAACGATGATTTGTACCGACAGCACCTGTGCGTGTAATGACTACAACCTGAATTACCTTGCGCTTTTCTCCCACATTAAGCTGACATGCCAGGAAGCAACTGACATCATGTTTAAAGCTGCTCTGAACAGAACTCACTGGAACAATCACTTGTAATTTGATTGTTAGATTGATCAAACTATGAGACACAAATATCAAATCCCCCTCCCTGCTCCATCCACCATTACCTCAAGATGGACGTTTTGGGGAAGAATAATTGAATTTGTGTGGTGACAATTCTGTACAATTTGGATAAAGAAGGCTTTCTTGAAAAGTTGGCATCTTGCCTGGTTTGGTTTTAATGTCAAACTTGTTTGTTTAAGGTTGTTATTTTGTATGTTTTGTTTTACTCACTAAGGATGTATTCTTCAGATAAATAAATATGTCTGATGTTGGGATGAACCACCGAACAGAACAAAGACCCTGCATATCATGTTTTTCATTTGAAGATCCCGGGTAGAATAGGTCTTCAGCAACCCATGTTTGTCGTAAGAGGGGACTAACGGGATCAGGTGGTCAGGCTCACTGACTTGGTTGATGCATGTCATCGTATCCCAACTGCATAGATTGATGCTCATAATGATCACTGGATTGTCTGGTCCAGACTTGATTATTTTGTGACCGCTGTCATATAGCTGGAATATTGCTGGATGCGGGGTTAAACAACAAATAATCAAACAAACAAACAAACATTTAGTTAAAGGGAATAAGGGTTGCCCAGTTTTCTAGGGCTCTGTAATTAGCTGTGGAGAGTTGCGTCCCTTGTGCATGTCAGAAAACTTATGATTGTTGGTTCAAATCCCAGTTCACCCCAATAATGTTTCCAGGTATGTCAGCAGCTGATTGGTTTCAATAAAGTGGTAAATTTTGAGACCTGCGTCACTTTGGGCTTTCCATCCACATTAAGCTGACACATCATATTACTGAAATACAGGTCAAAGCAGTGTTAAACCCAACTCACTCACTCATTTGGTACAAAGTAGTTCCAAGATAGCTTGTTGACTTCGGCATGTAAGACGTGATTTATGTTATTGATGGCTTTGAGGACAGTTACTTCGTGCACACTTCTGTGTGCAAATATGTTTATATGTTTTAACGAATCACTTTTATGTGTAAGTAGGGTGCTGGTGTGTCATAGGTCAAGTCATATCCAGACAATGTTTAGATGACGGTGGTTTCTTCAAATGTAGAGAGTCAAGATTGTCCCTGCTTTATGGAGTCTTCATTATAAAGGTGTTCACATCCCTGATGCTTGTTTTAAATAACGCTCCCTCATCAACTCTAAGTAGATGCAATAGGTCCATTCTCAGGTTCCCTGCAAGTTTTCCATGCATGTATTACTTTCATCTCAAGTTCAATCTTGCCTATGATTCAGATTTTTACCTCACCTGTTTGTCAGCTTGCATTATTACGAAAATCTGTTCAAATTAGTGTTTTCTTTCAACAGTGATCAAATTGCGATGTTATAGAGCATACAAATACTATGACATCTCTTTTGTCTTGGCAAAGTTGAATACACAAGAGAAAGTCATATGCAGTGTCATTTGCCATTTATCAAGAAACCATGTTGTATAAGTTTCTTCATTTTATTTTGAAATGTATACAAAACCTGTGTTTGAGAAGGTGTAGACACAGTAGCCATGGATTTATTGTGAACTGTTATTTTGTTTCCTACTGGTCAGGGGCAGAGTTGTGTCCCTTGTGTATGGCGGAAGCATATGGTTGTTGGTTCGAATTCTGGTTTGACCTGATTATATTTCTATGTTTGGCATCACCGCTCGTGGATTTAATGTCCTAGACCTGCATCTGAGTCATTGTAAGTAATTTGACATTAGTTGACCTTACAAAGTCCCACTTCAAACTAGATAACCAAGGCCGTAGCTAACTTTTTTTGACAGAGGGGGCAAATAAGATTATTCATTTCTTATTCAAGTTAACTTTCACAAGGGAAAAAGTTTTCTGTAAAAAATCCAGGGGGGCAACTGCTCCCCCTGCCCCCCAGCTGGCTAGGCACTGATAACTTTTTTTACTTTAAACATTGTCTGGTTTGGCTTTGCTGTTACAATTTGTCATGCTGCCAGGGGGCGCGGGTGGCCGAGTCGTCTAAGTCTTTGCAATTCACTGTGCAGAGTTGTGTCCCTAGGGCACGCCAGAAACCTATGATTGTGGGTTTGCCCCGATTATGTTTCTAGGTTTGTGAGCACCACACCCGTGCTCATGGGTTTCACCAAGTGGTAAACATCTGAAACCTGAATCACTTCGGGCTTTCCTCCCACATTAAGCTGACATGCTGTGATATGACTGGAATACTGTTAAAAACTCGTTAAAACACAACTCACTCACTCACTCATGCTGCCAGTTAATGGAAGCCACTTGACAATCACATGTTTGGATTTCAGAGCAAATGTGTTCTAGTACCAGAGTGTATGACTTGTGACTGTCAATGCCTTATTGTCATACTTCAGTGTCATGTCAGTTATGAACATAAGTAGTTGTTTTCATTGAATTTCTTGTTAGATAAATAAAGCTGTGGTAAAGAATGAAGCATGTGATTTAACCAGTAGCATGTGTATTTCTACTGGACAAATATTGAAATGTTAGTCTTATGTGATCTCTTTCCTACCTTATAATGCATGTCATGTATGAAAAAATATATATGTGACAGACTTGGAATTTGTGTTTCTTTCTACATTGAGGGCGGTCGGGTAGCCTTGTGGTTAAAGCGTTCGCTCGTCACGCCGAAGACCCGGGTTCGATTCCCGACATGGGTACAATGTGTGAAGCCCATTTCTGGTGTCCCCTGCCATGATATTGCTGGAATATTGCTAAAAGCGGCGTAAAACCATAGTCACTCACTCTTGTTACATTGGGTGTGAACAAACACTCACTCTGCGCTTAAACCACCTGAGTATGGAGAGTGGGTTGTTGGTGGTTCGACCCTCGCCGCCTCATACCAAAGAGGTTAATAGATGGTACATGGCTCACCTGCCTGGCACTCCGCCTTAAGGGCATAAGTAAAGGACTGGCCGGATACTGTGTCAGAATGGGGTATTGCTGTAACACTGCATCATTGTTCTCACAGGGCTAACACTATAAAATGGGTATGCAGTCTCGTGGCTGTATTAGTGCAATAATCTTGAAGTGAAGGTTAACCCAATTTCACGTGAAGTGACACAAGACTATAAGATAATGGTCAGACCTGCGAACCAGATCCATGGACACAACTCTCTCAGTCATGTATTTCAGAGGTCACAAGGGGGCATGGGTGGCCCAGTCGTCTTAAGTCACCGCGATTCGCTGTGCAGAGTTGGGTCCCTTGGGCACGCCAGAAACCTATGATTGTGGGTTCGAATCCCGTTTCGACCCGATTATGTTTCTAGGTTTGTCAGCACCATACCCGTGCTCGTGGGTTTCACCAAAGTGGTAAACATCTGAGACCTGCATCTCTTCGGGCTTTCCTCCCACCTTAAGCTGACACACCGCGATATCGCTGGAATAATGTTAAAAGCGGCGTTAAACCCAACTAACTCACTCACTCACTCTAAAAGTCTCGCCACAGGCTGCACAATAAGTGATTAAAAGTATTTATGAAACCCCACGCCAGCGTTTGAACTATTGGATAGTTCATATTACTCACCAGATAGTTCTTTAAGAAAGTCCCCGTGGGCATATCGGGTGAGAATAAGAAGCAAGAAGCATGGTCGTAAGAGGATCGGGTCGTCAGGCAGGGGGACGGACGTTCCCATATAGCGTGCTCACAATATCGATCACTGGACAGTCTGGTCCACGAGAATTTACAGGCCGTCTTCAAATAGCTGGAATATTACTGAGTGCCGTGAGAAACAAAATCTAAGAAGATGTAATACGAAAGTTGTGAAAACAACAATGCAGGCACTCCATGTTTAGGGTAAACATGCATGTAGAGGGTAGGTACATTGTAGCTGATGGGTTATGCAGTGGTTGATTCCAACCCAGTCTCCCCGCTGTCTGCCATCTCCACACGTGTGTTAATTTTCTTTACCAAATGTTCAAAGCAGCGTTATACCCATCTTCCCGAGGCAAGAGCATCCACTTGCCTTTTATCTGTGTTGTAGAAACTAGGCTTTAATACAGGCTAGTGGACACACCTGGGTCGGGAAGATGCGTTTTGCCCAACTCAATCTTTACCAAAGCTGTAAAGCTCTTAGTCCTGCCAGACTGTTTTCTTTGTACTTTCTTTAGCCGCAATGCAATACAGATGTTACATTCTTGTTAAGCCCCTATCACTACACTCCAACACATCGAAGGTTTAAGAGAGCATTGAAATGGGTGTGTGAATGACATTGTGATCTAAGTGAGTGAGGTTTCAGCCATATTGCACCAATATCACGGCGTTCACCACAAAATAAAGAACTCAATGCATATTGTACCCATGAGGGGAGCAAGGGTCGGGTCTTGAGCGTTATCAGTGTAAAAAACGATTTGAACATTTTCAACAAGGGCCTGGTCTTCATATATCTATATACCTTTTTGATGGCGTAGGTGAGAGCACACGATGCAACAAGGACTCAAGGGAGATAATTCAGTCAGGCCAGTCGTCTTGCTCTACAACGAATCGTCGGTGTGCAGCCCTGCTGGCGAAAATGGTCTTTATTGTAAACACGTACGACCGTCACTTGCAGACACCAGTAACAAACAGTAGATGCTCAATTTACTTTGGGGAAATCATTCTCTTGTATGGCAGGAGGTAATTGTAATGTAATTATCTCACAACCTCAGTGATGTTCCACCGGAACTCCGCTGTTCTTCCGACCGGACTATCACGTTGCTCTTTCATCAACGATCGTATGACTTAGTTTTTTCCAATATAATGCCTCGAGCTTTCTTTGCCAGAAAGGCAATCTATCATCTGAATCACATCAAAGATATGACATTGATGGTTTGCCCTATCGGGAAATGTAGGTGACGGTGCACTCGCGCTAGACACAGGATCGATCCCCGGCCGCTCACACCAAAATACTTCAAAAGATGGTGCTTCTTGTTCCCCTGCCTGGCGCTTGGCGTTGATGAAATAAAACAAGAACTGTTTGGTTATTCCATTTATATAGCGACGTGAATGCACGTGTGTGTGTGGCTGCTTGTATTAGTCCGGACTGATGCCGATTTATTTTGCAAGCTCACTGAAATACCATGCCGCAGTTTAACATGAATACCCAAATCAGACACAGTATACTGACTCCGACCCGACCAGTCCTTCTTTTAGCCCCTCCACGCCAAGCGCCAGACAGGGTAACAACAAGTACCATCTTTTAACGTCTTTTGGTATGACGCGACCGGGGATCGAACCCTGGACCTTCAGCTCTCCGGGCGGACGCTCTACCACAAGACCATGGAGACGGTCACCTTCCGGTAATACCCAAATATTATGACATGACACGCGTTCTTAGACCTTCATAATACAATAACAGTAATACAGTATAACTGAATTATTACCATTCGTCTCTTGAGCACGCCAGAAACCTATGATCCTGGGTTCGAATCCGGGTTCGTCCCGTTTAAGTTTCTAGGTTTGTCAGCACCATGGGTTTCACCAAAAGTGGTAAACGTCTAAGACCTGCATCACTTCGGACTTTCCTTCCACATCAGGATGACATGCCCTTATATGGTTGGAATAAAGCGGCGTTAAACCCACCTTAATCACTCACTCTTTGCCATTCCCTTAATTGTCATAAGGGGCGACTAACGGGATCGGATTGTCAAGCTCGCTGACTTGGGTTGATGCGTGTCATCGAATCCCAATTGTGTGAATCGATGCTCATGATGTCAATCACTGGATTGTCTGGTCCAGACTCGATTATTTAGAGACCGCCGTCATGTAGCTGTAATATTGCTGA